AGTATAGTATAGTATAGTATAGTATAGTATAGTATAGTATAGTATAGTATAGTATAGTATAGTATAGTATAGTATAGTATAGTATAGTATAGTATAGTATAGTATAGTATAGTATAGTATAGTATAGTATAGTATAGTATAGTATAGTATAGTATAGTATAGTATAGTATAGTATAGTATAGTATAGTATAGTAAAAAACAAGAATATCAAAGTAAAAATAATCAGAATGATAAATGAAATATCATTAAAACAATATTGTCTTTTAAATGCATATTTAAATGTTCCTATTGCAAAAATAGGAGAATTTAACACCTCTACATTGGGACTTAAAATTTCAGCTTTATGCAGACAGTTTTTGACCAAACACAAACCCATGTTAGCATCAGATTTTATAAGAATATCAAACTTCAAAATTATCTCAGAATTAATATATTTAAATATTTTCTTTCATGCTTTTAAATTTGGCATTCCTTTTCATTTCAGCCAATAGTTAGTTTTTTAAATAGCTTTAAAACAAAAGAATTTAGAACTCAAATTATCAAATGTCAGATCATTCACTTAATACTCTCTACTTCTTTACTCCTTCATAAGATAATTCTTATTATATGATTGAATTTCATTTGGAGGAGCAGGATTAAACTTTTCTAATTTTCAACTTTGATACTAAATCTATTTCCAGAGAAGATAGCAAAATTCAAATATCAAGGTTTTTTTAAATTTTATTTACTTAGTGAGTATGACGGTAGATTGAATAGACGGATAATAATTCACAATGAAAATAATCAAGAATCTCAACTTTAAGTTATTTCAAATAAGTAGACAAAGTACGAAATAACCATAACTCCTTTAACAAAAATTAATGATAATTGTTTAAATGATTGTAATTAAAATGGAATTTGTAATGTAAATCAAATATCTAATGAAAGAATTCCAACTGTGAATGTTATGAAGGATATTTGGGCAGAGATTGTCATTTACCAGTCTTCCAAATAAAAAACTCTGCCTAAAATGTCTTATCAATAAATTCCAAAATATAGTATTATGTGATGGACTTATAAGGAGAAAAATAATTAGTTTCCCTATCCTTTTAAGTAATTTTATTTTTTTATGAATCTTAGATAGAAATTTATGCTGAATTACAAATATCATGTTTTGATGAAATCAAATTATCATATGAGAGTGAAGAATTAGATAATTTAAAAATTGTCAAGGTGTATTTTGAATTAAATAATTAAACATCTAACAAAGACTTCCTCGTTTTTGTAGTTGAAAAACTTATCGGTTATGATTAACATTTAAGAACTCTTTCTATTAATCAATAGCATAAAGAAGAGCATAGTGATACTAATAATGACGATGATAAAAAAAATAATAATAATAATGCCAATATTGAAAAAGATAATGACGATAATGACGATGATAATTCTATAACAATAAAGATATCTATTGGAGTAGGTGTAGGTGTAGGAGGAGGTCTTTGTTTATGCCTAGTAATTGTTTTGATCTGTGTAAAAATTAAATTTAATGTAAATAATTGAAAAATAAATCAGGATGTTCTTGTTTTTTATATATCCTTACTTAGCATACATTTTAAGTTTTGTTCCTCATTTTTATATTTTTATTTTTTTTTTAATTTCTAAAAAATGATGCAAAATAGATCGAAAAAAGATCCTAACTTCGCTAAATTGAATCCTTTTTTTAATTATTGTTTATAATTTCCACTTAATTAAATTTTAACGAAAATCTAAAAGGCTATCGTACACCAAGCAGATAAAAAAGGTAATAAAATTCCTATTTTAAATATTAAATCAATGGAATGAGTTTATTCGAAATTATCAATTCAAATCTAAATTAAACAGGATAACCATTTAGCCATTTTGGACTTGATTGGATATAAAATATATCTCTCTATTTTGAACTGAGTTAGTTGTATAATGATTTACAATGGGTGTTGAAGCTGATTTTAGTTATGGATTTCTAATTAATAAAATGTTGAATTAAATATTACCATCTTTTCAATTGCAGATAACTTCATAGTTCCAGTATTGTTGACAGTCTATGGAGAATCTTCGATTCCAGATTTTGGGGCAGTTAGAAAAGTGTAGTCGTCGCTGTTGCTGATATATTTACAGAAAATGGAAGCAAATTTTGCTTTTGGACCTAAATTTAAATAAGAAAGAATTCACAGAGATTATTATTGCTTAATATCAACATAGTGAGTAATTTAGGTTAAAAGTTTGTAATTCAATTCCTATTTGGGATTTTGGTTTAGAACTTTTGTGTCTAATCAGTTTGCTCCATCAAAAATGAATGAATGATGAAATTATAATTATAAAAAAATTTCTTCACTCTCTTGATTACTTTGTCTTATTTTTATTGAATGAATTTTATTTATAATATTCAAATTAATAATCACGTAGAATTAACAAACTTAATCTAATCTTTTTAAATTGTCTACCCTTCTTTCAGTAAATACTGATTATATATTATAAATGAAATAAGGGTTAAAAATGTTGTTATGTAAAGATAAGAAAAGTCATAAAGTAAAGATTTCTCATTAAAAATAGCCCACCAAATTGATGATAATCCAAACCCAAGACTCTAACATAAATTGTAACCTGCAAATGCATGATTTTTTGTAGAAATTTATTTTGTAATTACTATTAAAGCTAAAGATGATATGGAACTATCTGAATATCCAATTAATGCACATCCAAATAATGTTAATAAATAATTATTATTTGTATTTCCAATTTAGGATAACAAAATACCAATAAAATTAATTAAGAAACTGAAATATAATACATAATTTTCTTTAAACCTTTCGCTTAATTTGCCTGCTGTTATCCCGCCAATCACTTAACCAATTCCAGTTATTAAGAATGTTATAAAAATTTTATTATACAATTCAGATTCTTAGAATCCTAGTTTTTATACAAGAACAGGTATAAATAAGTAAATTACAGAATTCATCAAACCAGCAAAAATTAGAACTCCTAAAAATAAACAATATTTCTTAAAGCTGATTTATTTGTACAAAGCTAATAATTAATATTTTATTTCCTCCAACATTGATCTGGCTTCTCTCTTCTTCTAAATTTTATTATCACGAATACAGAAAAATAGTGCTTATAAAATAATAGAGATGATAACAATTATGATATAGAATGTAAATATATCAAAATATTAGTTTAAATAATAGCCTTAAATATATTTATTTACATACCAATTATATTTGATAAAATATTCGACATGCTAGTAAAAGAAAAACTTATTCCAAAGAATAATTCTCTATTTGAGTTGTTGCACATAAAATTAATATAAGCAACAAAAGAAACATAAAAAATTGTTTAAAGAACACCAGCAATCAAAGATGTAATCACTGTGATCGTTTCAACTAAAGCCTTTGAGCATTATTCCTAACATCCTGCTACTAAAATTCCGCCAACTAAAAAAATGTTTAAGTTAAATGAACTAATAATGAATATTTTTTTAAAGTTGACTGACTCAATAATTTTATCCACTACTAGTAACATCATTGGCCCAAAAAGATAATTGCAAACATACTAGAGTGATGCGAGTGTATTAAAACCGTAATTCGAATACATTGTATAAAGAATATTTTTTCCTGCGCTAGTAAAGCTTAATAACAGCATAATGATGGAGTCAAAATAAACCATCTAAAGAAAGCCATCAAAATATTCTGATTTCATCATTTTAAAGTTTTTTAATTTAAAATATTTTAGTTTATGTGCAATCTGGTTTTTCCTTTTAGTCAAAAAGAACTTTTGAAATTTTATTTCTCATTTATATATATATAGAAGTTCATATTTTTTTATCTTTAAATTAAAAAATATTTTTTGCAAATTTTGAATCTTAAGTCATCATCTCATTCACAAAAAGAAATTTCAATTTAATAATATATAATTTTTTCAATCACTGAGTTGAAAACTAAAAATATCATGTGTTTTAGAGAGTTTGAATGCATATCCATAAAAACATACTTAACATTTCCTCAAATATTTTTGATAATTATTACAAAATTAAATTGCTGTGATTATCTTAATAAAAACAAGTTTGATTATTTGAATAACAGACTAATCATTCTTTTGGAATAAAAGATATTACAAAATCATTAATTATTAATTTTAGAAAACAAAAGATAATTCAAATACACAATGAGATTAATAAAAATTTAATTCAAATCAATAAAAAAACAAAAATTTGAATTTGCTAATTATTAATTTTTAAAAGCATAGAATGGGGAAAATAGCTAAAAAGTAGGAGACACATAGAATAATTTTTTTTTATATAAAACAATAACCAAATAAAAAAATACATCAACCTGATGAAATAAAAACTGAAATAATAGAACAAAGTTAAAAATTAATATGATTAGGGAAAATCGAAAAAACTTATCTTGGCATCAGCTTAAGTTTTAAAAATTAAATAGGTATTTAATCTTTATGGTATTAAAATGAAATACCATAAGGGGGCAACAATTAATTTAAACTTTCAAGCATTCTTAATGATAATATTTTCATAATTTAGAATTAAAAGAAGTTGTGAATTATCAACTTATCTATAAGATTTAATTTAGATAATCAAAACAATCAAGCAAAAAAAAGAAGGAAAAAGAATGAGTTGTAGAAATATAGGGAAACTAAGAATAATTAAGGCAGAACCTAGATTTATTCTTAATTGATAGAGTTTGATAAACAATATAAAAGGTTCGGTAATGAATAATTTCAAAGAAATTTGGTAATTATTTATCCTAGTTCTAAGATATATTTAATTATACTTAAGGAAGTGATGATTTTATAATAAATTCTAAGTAAAAAAGCTCTATTTTGGAACATCGGCCCTAAATAAATAGTTTAATTTATATATTTTTTCACGTAATATATTAATTTCGATTAAAATAAAAATAAATAATTTATGGAGCATTCTATATAGAAATAGAGAATTATTTAAGCAACGCGCAGTATTTATGGATGTTTAGATTCTTTTGTTTAGAAATAATTATATTACTATGAGAAATACTTTCGCAATAGCTTTACTACTCCTAATCACATTAGAAGTTTCTTCTCTAAAAGTCTCAATAAATAAAGAGAATCCATCTATGAAAATTGCTTTCCCTCGTACATAATCGGCAAACACAACTTTTGATATAGAATTTTCTAATTCTCTTTTTGAATATTATTCTGTAGAACTGATGCAAATTTCTCCAGAGGCTGCCGATATTGCTTTATTGTATATGGAATCTTAACCTTCTTTTTTAGAAGATGGAGAATTGATCTATGATGATATGGATTATGATAGGTATTTTGATTTTAATTATCATTAGTTATGCTTAAAAAAAAAGGGAACACTTTTTATTAATTCCTAGCTCTATCGGATAAGTGTATATAACTATTTTGACTAATGTTTCTATCTCATTTGATATAGTCATTTCTGGATCTCAAGAAAAATTGTGCCCAAAAAGATGTAGAGATAATGGGAAATGTATTGATGGTATTTGTGATTGCATCAAACCATTCATTGGAAGGGATTGTTCTATCAAAGCTATGGAAATTCTAAGAAATACTTAAATTGGAGTTGGTAGTTCTAATGATCATGATTTCTACTTTTTCTATGAACAGGATGGATCATAAAAATTACGATTAGAAATATCTGTATTAATTAATTTAAACATTTTAGACTTAAGATTAATTTGATTCAGTATTTGCTTATCTTCTTGTTCCTGATCTTGTTTATTTGCCAACATCTTTGATTTATACTTAAGGTGCAAACATAACTATGAATTAACCATTTTCAGTAATGATTGATTAAAAAAATCGTAAAAAAGAAAAAATAGATCCTAATCCAGATAAGTTAATTCTTTTTATACATGGAAATACTTTTACAATAAAATTAGATGATATTTCACAAGACGATTCAAAATAAAATAAACTAATAATAATAATAGTAAGTTGTATTGGAGGATCTCTTTTGCTTTGTTTCATAGGATTTTTCACTAGGAGGGCTTACTTAAAAAGATAAAGAGATAAATAAACACCAGCCACACCTAATATTGATAATGATATAAAAGAAAAAGATTTAGAAGTACAAACTTATAAAGTAGAACATAAATAACAATATGATGATGAACTCTAAATTATCTCTAATAATCAATTGTAAGAAGGATAAGATAACTGCGGAATTTGTTTGGAATCCTTAAAAACTACTAAAATAATAAGAAAAACTCCTTGCAGGTATACATTTCATATATATAATAGTCATATATTCCATGGCAACTGTATTGAGAAATGGCTTTAAAAAAATTCTTATTGCCCTTTCTGCAGATTTGATCTGAAAGTTTAGATAACCAAAAAAGAAGAGGAACTTATTCAAGAAGTATGAACATCTTAAACCTTTATTATTTATTTAAATAGAATTTTTATAAACTTATGTAATTCATTCATTTTCTTTTAATAAAGCCACTAATTCATCATATGATAATTTATTATTTTAATCTTCTATTGAATCACCTAATTTCATTAATTCTTTCCATTCACTTTCAGTTAGATCAGTTTTAACAAAAAATACTTTTAACTCATTAGCACTAATTTGACGGCTACAATCTTTGTCTAATTTATTAAAAAATAATTTAAGATTTTCTTAACTTAATAACTTCTTTTTATCACATGCAGCAATTAAAAATTCATTAAATTCTAAATATGAATTTTCATTTAAATCTAATTTTTTAAAAACTTCCTCAACTTCTTTTTTTGCCAAATTATCATTACCTAAATTTTCTTTATATAAATTTATAAGTTCTCTTTTTGAAATCCTTCCATCCATATCATTGTCAAGTTTGTTAAATGTTTCAGCTATTCCATCTCTTTCATCCTTAGGTAATAAATAATCTATCATTAAACTTATTAAAATTATTTTTAGTTCATTTTTTCTTTTAAAATTCTTCGCCCTAAGTAAAACTCCTGAAACATTTAATGAAGATTATTTTAAAGTTTTAAAATAATTATGATGTAAGCATTCTTTGGCAGTCGGTCTAATTCTAGAATCTTAATTCAACATTTGAATAATTAAAGAATATGCTTCTAAGTCTAATTTTTTTAAATCTTCTAATCGTTTAAATTTTTGTTCTTTAATATTTTCAAAAGTTAAATTCTTATACTTTTCTTTAAAAGGATGGATTCCAACTAATAATTCATATAAAACAACTCCTATTGACCATATATCTGCTGATGCTGACCATTTGTATGATTCTGAAAAGGTTTCAGGGGCTCTATAGCTTATCTCAGTATTTAAATCTTGATGATTGTAAAAAATTTCATCGTGACCGCATAATTTTGCAAAATATTTGGACTTTTAAGCCAATAAAATATTTTTCGTAGTAATGTTTTTATGCACCAAATTTTATAAATGAATGCTGAATATTGCTTACAACATCTATTTAATTATAAAAGTTATATGAGTTTTATTTTGATTATGGGCTTCATTCTACAAACTTTCTACCAAATTACCACCCTCACAATATTCTTTAACCAAATAAATATGATGCTCATCATTATAAAAATCAAATAATTTTATAATATTTGGATGATCCTATTATAAAATTCTTAATTACTAATTTTTTTATAGATTGAATATATTCTATGTATTCTTACAGTTAACCTTCAGTTAAAACATTTTTTGTTATTTTAGCAATTCTTTTTAATCCAGTAACTTTATGTTCCACTGTAAATAGTTTACCCTCATTGTTTTAGCTTTATAACTACTCATTTGTAATGTAATAGTCTAATTGAAATTTTTTATTTCTGTAAACTTATTAATTTTCCAATTAGAATAATTAAGAAACTTTATTTTTATCTTGGTTTTGAGATTGTAAATTTTATTTTTCTTTTGTAGCTGGTTCTGAATTTCGTTTAGGTTTCTATTAAAGTTCTTCCTATATATCAGGCAAACTTTTTTAATTGCCTTTTGATTATTTTTCTTATTATTTGCCTTACTTTTAAGCGTTACAACCCATATAATCTTATTTGAATAAAAACGAAGAATTAAATAATTATAAAATATATTTAGGAGTATTTCTTTATTATTCGATTAATGATGTATCAACCAAAATATCAGTAAAAAGGATATTTAAAGAATTTAAACAAATAATTGACACAGTAATTTTAGCTTAAAATATTATGTAAAGGTATTATACACTTGCTGTAATATATTAAATAATATCATAAAAACATTTATTTAGCTTCATAATATATATCATCTTGAATAACATCAGGTTTTTCAATTTCCATTAATTAAAAAATATCTTTAATTTCAGGATCCAAGACATTTCCTAAATCATTTTTGTTATTCAAAATACTAAAAATACTATTAACAACACCTAATTAAATTTAATTCTCTATTTCTTCATTATTTGTCTATTTTTTTAAATCTTACTCTAATCTGTCAATCTTTTATAAAAAATTATCAGATTTTTAATCAACAACTTATCTTTTCATGCAAGTAATCAATTTCTTATTCATGAAATTGATCATTTCTTCTGACAGATATTCTTTATAAAATGGGTCATCCAAAATGATCATAAAAGAATCATAATTTATTGGAATAAGCAATCTTTATTTTTGCATGCTTTTCTTATCTTTCTATTATTTTTATTCAATTATGATAGATTCATTGTTAATTTATTAAGGCTTCATATATGGAAGTAATGATAAAGCTTTTTACAATATATTTATACCCATTAATTCATCTGTTCTTTTGCCATTATTCATTTCTTACAGTTTTTTCATTAAATCCTAGCCAAACATTGGCATTTTCAATGGTGAAGCTTTATTATCTCGTTTATAATTTTTCCTTTCTCTATTTCTACTAGATGTCCTTGATGATTTCTAATTAAATATTAATCAAACTTTTTTTTTTGATTTGTGCTTTGAAGAAGATCTATGACTACTAACTTTTTCTTTTTTTTTATGTTTATTTTTTTTTCTATCTGGTGTAGGCATTAAGTAAAATTAATAATTAATATTTTGATAATTTATTTGATATAAATTTATTAGTCATCTTCACTTAAACAATTATTTTGCTTCCTCATAAAGGTCTTTTTCAAAATTATTTTATGTTTCAATTTCCATAGGTTACAGTAAATCTTTTATATCTGTATATAATTAGCTATGAATTCCATCTTCTTTATTATTTTGAAGCACTGTGAAAATACTTTTAATTAAATTTAATTGTTATTGTTGTTATTATTGCTATAATGATTCATCTTAAATCATGGGTTTTTTGAGATCCTATTCTAATTTCTCTATTTTCTCATTAAATTCTTCTTATTTTTAATCTTAAACTCTTTTTTTTATTAGATCAATTATTCTTTTCTTAATTTAAGATAATATATCATCTGTTAATTATTCTTAATAAAACTAATCTTCTAAGATTACCATTAATGTATCATAAGTAAACGGTACTAACATTCTCTGCTTAAAAGTATTCTTCATGTTTTTTTATTATCTTGAGCTCTTTTTTGTTCCAGGGGTGGGTAACACAATAGGAATCTGCTAATTAATAATTGGAAGAAAACCAAATGCTATAATTTATTAATCCATATTATACCTGATAATCCCATCAATTATTATTAATCATCATTTGAAGGCCTTCTTCCATCTTTCATTTGCTCTTAAATTTTCTTTAAAATTTCTAAATTAAATCCAGGAAGACTTCCAAACATATCTGTTAATTGCTTGTCACTTAAAGTCTATGTATTATGAGGAGATTCCTTAATCTCTTTTTTGTAATCCTTTTTTTTTCCTCTACTTGGTGTTCTTGAAGATTTCTAATATTAGAAAAAAATGATACTTTTTTCTTCGATTTATGCTTAGGAGAAGATCTATGACTACTATCCTTATCTTTTTTCTTATGTTTATTCTTCTTTCTTTCTGGAGATGGCATTTAATCAAATAAATAAATATATTTTAATTATGAAAATATATTAAGTTTCTAAATTATAAAAAATAAATTTAAGCATTTATCAACTAATTTTTAAGAAAAATGAAAGATTTTTTATTGATCAAAATTAAAAAAGTGAGAGAGAATTATAAGCACTTAATTGATTAATTATGAATTTATGGTTGTATTTAAATTAATAGTATTTATATATTTATATTCATTAATCCAAAAAGAATAATATAATGTCAGTATAACAAACCGATGCAGCTCAAAAACTCTAATTTGGTGATTATGAGAAAGTCAAATTTACTTTTAGTGGATTAGACAAATATATTGTTATGGTAAAATTAAAAAGTAAAAAAGCAAGGAATTAAATACAAAAATTGCTTTGGAAGATTTAAAGTTTACATTTGCAAATATTTTAAAGACAGACTTTTTTGCTAAAAGACTCGAATATCATGTTATGAAAGGATTTAAAAATACATAATTATAACCACAAAAATCTTTATCTTAATAAGAGATTCCAATTGAATTTAAAGGTTCAGGTCCCGGTTAATAACTTAATATACAAGTTAAATTTACAGAAGAAGGAGCATGATTATTTAATATTCATTTATATTGAAAAACTATAATAAAAATTTTGCTAATCAAAATATTTAAAAGTATCATTATAAATAATTTAGAAAATTTGATTTTCTTATTTCATAAATTGAAGATTTAAAGATGTAACATAATGAATTTAAGAACAAAAATCCAAACTCACTTAAATGAATTAAAATTGAAAATAAGTATTTTTATTTTTTTACATAATTCAGAGAATATTGATGAAATATTAACTTAAATCAAAGAAATTGAAAAATAAATATAAAATTAAATTATTAACTTTTAATTCCATAAAAAAGCATGGGGAATGTTTTGGAATAATAAATCAATCATCAATATTAAAAAGCATTAATATTTAGTTTCAATTCCAGATCTTTATATTCCAAATAGATCTTAGAATTGTTCTACAGCTCCAAGTCCTGGAATGAAGGTCTAAATTAAAAGTGCTTATAAAAAAGGTCTATAGTGTAATTTTGAATTTTGATTAGTTTCTATATTGTATTTGAGTAGAGAATGAGTAGAATTATAAAATATTAAATATAATAAAATAAGTATGAGTTTTAGTCATGAATAATTGATAAGGATGTTAAATAATGAATCCTTTTAATTATCCGAACCCACTACGCCATAAGTTTAACCAAAAGAAGATGAAACATAATTATTATAAAAATAGTTATTGGACTTAGTGCAATAAAACTCATAATTTAACAATTAACTAAATATAATTAAGGATTAGATAACTAAATAAGATTGTAAAATATATTTATAAATTAGTGATCTTTTAAAATTTATCAAAAACTAAATAAAGATTAGAAAGCTAGTTGCAAGAATAAATGTAAAAAAATTAAAAATTATAAGAAGAATGTGATTTGAAGGATTAGGAAGAAAAAGAATTAAAATAATAAATATCAATAATAAGACCCAAAAAAAGATTATTTACTTAATAAAGTGTTGGCAAAGTGGTAAATTTTAATATGACATATAATAATAATTAAAAGAAAAATTCAGTTATCGTGTCAATAAAAAAGTGATTAAATATATATAGGTCATAAATTTTGAAATATACATTTAATTATGATTTCTGTATTAGGCAATGATAATCCCATTAGACATTTATTTTAAATGATCCACTTACTTGCTTATTCAATAAATTCTGGGAATTCAACTTAATCTTATTCATTTTACTTATTTGATTCTAAATTAGTACTACTTGAATATGAAGAGTTATCTTGAAAAGAATTGTTCTTGTTAGATTCATTTTCAAGTTATTATTTTTTATTTTTTTAGTAATCTAATTAAGCTTAATAGACAGTACAATATGTATAAGATATCTAAAAACTTAAATATTATAAAATTACAATAGTAATCCATGTATTTTCCTTATTTTCATCATATCGTAAATTATTAGGTAATTATTCTAAAAATATTTATTTGCTTAAGCCTAATTAGTTTAAATATTCATCTGAATATTCCCAATGTCCATTTTCTTGTTTAAATTAGATTAATTCAAATAAGTTTTAAAATCTTTATTCACTCATATATTCTAAGATCATTGATGAGGATGCTCCTCCTAAGAGTCCACCAATGAAACCACCTATTAAAGCACCAAATATTGGAACTGGAATCAAAGCTTAACCTATTAAAGCTCCACTTAATCCAGAACCAACATTTGCAGTTGTAGAAATTAATAATTTATTTAATTAAGTATTTTTACTTTTTTATGAAGAAGATTCATTAGAATATATTTTTGCTGTAAAATATCCAAATGCTCCTAATGCAAATAATTAACCAATAACCGGCATTTAAGTTGCTATATATGTAAGAGAACCACTTACAACAGCAGTTTAACCAAAATCAACCAAAAATTCTTTTCTAGAGTGATATTTATTAATATTGGCTAAACAATTCCCTAAAGATGCTCCAATATCACCAGCTGCACTTGAAAAATGTGTATTAAATGTTTCTCCTTATAAACCATTTATTTTTATTGTTTCAGAGAAAGCACTCTAAATTTCAGCAGTAGATTCATTAAATGTAATAAATTACATTCTTTCTTCACTAATATCAAAATCTTCATGAATTTTATTAACACTTTATTAAAAATTCAAAGAATCGAATGCTTATTAGATTGAACTATATTCATTTTTAGACTCTTCTTTTTTTTTGAGTAATTACTCTGGAGTTAGTCCTTCTAATGCTTCAACAAACATCCATCTATTTTAAACAAGTTTTGCATTTGTTATTACAATTTTATCTAAAGGTTTATGTATAATAAATCTTTATTTAGATTCATCTTCACCTTCTATATCTAAAAGTATTCCAAATCTTTAATTTCTTTTAGAGACAATTTTATGTGTTATTACTTTTTTATTTTTATTTGTTATTTTTGTAATAGCTTATTCAATAGCTTCTAATTCATCATTATTTTCTTTAACATATTTCAATACAGTATTTTAAAAAGGAGTAAATACTATTAATTAATTATTTATATACTATCTTCATCATGTCTATTTATATACAAATTCATCAAATCAAAAGAATTGATAACTAATCGAGCAAATTCTTCTTTAGCATCCTAACTTGATAAATGAAAGATTGTGAAATCTTAGTAATTTTCAACTAAATCATAAGCCCTAACGGACAATTCCTAAAATAAACCCATTAATAGATATTTATTGCATAAATTACATTTATTTGTAATATTAATAAAGTCATTAGTTATTGTTTTTAATGAATTAGAACAATCATTGAAAATTTATACAACCACTTTATTTAATAGAAGAATGAGATCCTTATAATTCAATTATTCAATAATCAGTTAATATAATAAGCCTTTAGCAGTACCCAACATATTTATTAAAAAAGCTACAATTCTTTTTTCTATTATACTGTTGAACCAATTCAAATTAATATTGTCGTCAAGAATATCCTACCTATATACTATATAATATTCATTACATTTCAATATAGGTAAAGAAATCTTATTTGAAAAACATGGTATATATATCTTAAATTTATGTTAAGGCATATAAAAAAACTTAAAGATCTAAAAGTAATTGAGATTTTAAAATTGAATTAAGCTCTGTATTTTGAAGATTTTCCTCTACTTATTGTGTAATAAATAATTTTTTAGGTACCATATCTCTTTTTACAGATAAAATATATAGTTTTATTGACAATTAGAACTTTTCTTTAATGATTGCCAAAATATGATTAAATTCATTGGTAACTTCGGCATCGTCAGGATTCATTTTGCTATAGATCAAATAATTTGGGAGAAGTGTGTCTATTCTAACCTTTGGATTAGCAATAAATTATTCTAAAAACTTTGACATCATTTTAAATAATATAAATTTATTCTTAATTCATAATGATCAGTATGTGTTTTAACTTTTCCCTATTTTATTAGCTCTCTATCTTTATAAATTGGTAATACTTCGGTACCTATAATATCTTTAAATTGGCTTTATACAACCCACTTTAATATTATTTATTATAAATATGTACCCATTCTTCAACAACACTTAATCAAATCTTCATTTAAAATCATCTATAATAAAAGTATACCCAGGATTATCAGGATAGAGTTTTTTCTATAAATCAATATATCAAGATGAAATCGGTTCTTCACTCATCAATTTAACATTCCAAGTATAAGAAGAAATGAATTTTTGTTTTATTTTACTAAGTATAAATTCCATAATCTCTTATAACATTTCAAGGAATGTAATACGTTTATTAGAGAAATTTATCATTGAACATAATTATTTTTAAAATTTTTATTTATTGTTGTTATTTTGTTTTACTTCCTTATATTTCTTACAAACAAACAAAATCATAGTTGTTTTATTACTTATTGTTAATTTCGATAATTCTTTCATTGAAATTATGTTTATCGAAATAAACATTGTATGTTAGAAATGAAATCTCCTTTAAGATTATTTTTCTTTTGATTTTTAATATTTAAAAATTTTTCAACCTTTATTTCTTAAAGACTTAATATTAAAGAGAGAGTTTGATTTAACAAATATACTTTATATAATTCATTTTATAATTAATTTCTGAAAACAAAAATCAATCAATATTTTTTTCTTAATACTTAAATTCTTAACTATTCTATTATCTTTACAAATATTTTTAATTTAATGAAAATTTTTAGAATTTATTTAGTTGGAGAATCCAATAGTGGAAAATCATCCATTCTTAGAGCTTAATAGAACTAGCCATTTAATTTAAACATTTCTTAAACTATTGGTATCGATAATTGGAGTTTTATAAAAAATCAAACAAAATTTAAGATTTATGACACAAGTGGATTGAAGAAATTTGAATAGGCAACTATATAAGGCATGAAAAATGCAAATTTAATTATTATTTGCTTTGACCTATGTTCAAATACGGCATATAAAGATGTAGAAAAATGGTTGAATATTGTTCAAACTTATAAATCAATAACTCCAATTATAAAATGGATAAGTAATTATAAAAGAAAAATGAAAATATAAAAAAATTGATTCAAAATTATCCTTTGTATTTTACTTCAGCTCTAAACTCTCAAAGTGTTCAGAAAGTGTTTGAGGATATAGTACAAAATTTAATTATAGCGAATTAAATAATTGATAGAGTAGAAATCAGACCTAGGTTGGATCCTGTAAAAAAGAGAAATTGGTTATGTTTATGCTGAATGGAAAATTACTGAATTTTTTTATATTTAACTTGTAGTTATATCTATATTTCATAACCTATTTTAAATTTAATATTAATTTATTTAAAAAGAAAAAAAGTTGAGAATGTATCAAGAGAGACACCTTGGTGATGTTGGAATGAATTTTCTTTTATGAAAAATCATTAAATAATATTTAAAATGAATTAATTATATTTAAATTATATTTTTAGAAGTAAAAACATAGATATTAGTATAAATAGAAAAAGTAATAATCTCATTATAAGGATAAAATGGATTCCAAAATTATAATCTTTGTTGCTATTTACTATTATTGTCTTTCAATTATATGATAATTGGATGTCCATTATTGATATTTCCAAGTGTTTGATAAAAGATGATGGCTATTTCATCTTTGTTGAGTTGTTTAATAGAGATTTTGAAAATGCATTTGTAAAAATTGATTATTCTATTGATAGTGGGGAGCTATTAATATTGTGAGGGTATTTCTTTTTAAAGATCTTTAATAACATTATAGAGTTATTTATTATAAGATTAAATTTGATTTAACTTAATTTAGAAATAATTATCAGATTCTATTTCTTCTATTAGTTTAGAAGTTAAAGAAAAATATTCTTAATTTTGGCTTTAGTAAATAAACTGATGTTAGTCTATGAAGGCCTTACTTATCAATTTAATTTTGTTGCTTTATTAAAGCTGCTAATCTTTGAGTTGTTGTGTTTAATGTTTTACAAGGTTTAGAAAAGTTTCAATAGTTTGTTTTTCTTCAGTAATTGCAAGTAATAGCAAATGGAGCAGGAGATTTAATATTTTGCTTCATTTTGAAATTTAAATTAATTAATATGTTATCATTAATCATTATAATATTCATTTTGAATTCTTTTTTCTTTTTTAGTCTTTAAATCAGAGACCCTTTATGCAATGTACTTCAAATCAATAATACTTTTAGAATGTATTTTGTCTAGTTCTTTTAATTCATCAACGATATCTTTGATAACAAGCTAGCGATATTTTTGAACGCTCTCAACAGATTTAGAATATTAATCAAGTAATTAATCATAAAGATTAAGTTTGTCTTATGCTCCAGTATTAATTAAATCATCTAATTTGGTTTGATATTCATTCATTTTTTGTAATCGAATTTATAATTCCTATATAAATTAGTTGTGATATAAAATATACCTTATAATTTTTGGCATAATTGATTAAGTATTGAGGAGGAGCAAATTGTGTTTTTGTTTTATCTTTGGTGACTTTATTAGGATCAATAGTTTCATTCATTATAGAAATATCTGATTTGGAAAAGATTTGCTTTTCTTCCCATTATTTAAGAAGATCTTTGATTTAAGATTTTAAATCTTATGAAGAGTTATGATCTTTTAATATAGAGAAAGCTTTAATGATTTATTTTTTGAAAGCATCTCTCATGGTAGCATCTAAGGAATAAAATAAATGATTACATGCCCCATCAAATTTAATGACAGATTCTATTACTCTTTATGCCATATGAAGTAAGGAAATAATAACTTTATCACCATCGACATTTCCTTTAGCAAAATGAAAGTGATTACACCACTCTTCACATAATGATTACTAAGATTTCTAATCATTGCTGTGTCTAATATAGAAACGAGCAGCTTCATCAATGTGAGATTGTGAAAGGTGAATGTTATTAAGGAGTTGACTAAGTGAGACAATACTTATTTCATTCATCATTTTGGTCACTTATGTTCTTGAAGTGTATAATTTTAATAATACAAATTTTGTTTGTAATTGAAATAATGAGAGACAATATAATTTATTAATATAATAATATAACAGATAAATTTAATTAAAAAATAAACATACATTTGTTTTCCAATGAATGATTAAACACCAATCAAAGAGATTGATCTTAATAAACAATCTTTGACTAGTCCAAAAGATAAAAGTGATCGTGTATGTATTTATATTAATAATAAATATAGTTTATTCCACGTAATGTATAATCTAATTTATATTAATTATTCATGAGTGAAGAGAATATTTAAGGCAATACTTATAATAATTTACTATAATCTTCAATATTAGGTAAATCACCAGCTATTAATTAAAAGTTATTTAATTATAAGACAGAAAATAAATAAAATGAAATAAATAAGATTATTAATAATGGATTAAATTTTTCTACAACTCCAACAAAAGTGGAACCAGAAAAACCACCAAGAAAAATTAATAAGAGACCATATAAAGTATTGGAAGCTGAAAATTTATAGGATGATTTCTATCTTAATTTATTAGATTGGTCTCCATTTAATGCATTAGCAGTAGGATTAGAAAATTCAGTATTGATATGGTCAGGACATACATCAAAAGTTTCTCGTTTATGTACTCTTGAAGATCCAGATATGGTATGTAGTGTAGCCTGGTCATAACATAATTAACATCTCTCTGTTGGAAATACTATGGGTGATGTTGATATATGGGATATAGTCAAATAAAAAGTTATTAGGAAATGGAATGGACATTAAGGTAGAATTGGATCACTTGCATGGAATAATTATTTATTAGCTACTGGAAGTAGAGATAGAAATATATTAGTCAGAGATGTTAGATCTCCTAATCAATCTATTTAAAAATATGTTGGTCATAAATAAGAAATTTGTGGATTAAAATGGTCATTTGATGAATAACTTTTAGCATCAGGAGGAAATGATAATAAATTGTTCATTTGGTCTCTTAAAAATTAAGGAGAACTTACTCATTTCTCACATCATTAAGCAGCTGTTAAAGCTATTGGATGGTCTCCTCATCAACATAATATTGTCGCTTCTGGTGGTGGTACTGCTGATAGATGCATTAGATTCTTTAATACATAAACTATTGAATAAGTTGAATGTATAGATACTGGCTCTTAGGTTTGTAATTTAATGTTCTCTAAAAACTCTAATGAATTAGTTTCAACTCACGGATATTCCTTAAACTAAATTATTGTTTGGAATTATTCTAATATGTCTAAGCTAGCTACTCTAACTGGACATACATAACGAGTATTATACTTAAGTGGATCTCCTTGTGGATAAAATATCGTTACTGGAGCAGGTGATGAAAGTCTTCGTTTCTGGAGTGTATTTCCATCATCCAACTCCAAAAATAACCATGGAATCACTAGAGCAGAAACTATAGATTTAAGATGAATCATCCCAACTTTAATACTACTATTCTATATATATATATTTACTTTACATTTTATTTAATAATATGGGATAGATGTTCAAAAACTTAAAAATCATCCTCTAATTCAACTTAATCTATTAAAGAAAAGATATATTGACATCAAAAACTTATTCTAAATAATTATTATTATAATTATATATTCTAAACTAACCTGATAATACAAAATACTTTAGCTAGCTTTTTCATAAAATTATAATTAGTATTAATCAATATTTAACTCTCATTCATATATAAAATATTTATTTATTTTAAAAAAAATTAATTATTCAACTAAATAGTCTAAATATAATGTTTAAATATATTCAAATAAAGTTTAAAAGGAATCAAATTAAATCTTAAATATAAGAGTCGAATTTAAAATATAAAAGATAAAAAATTCTTATAGTAAAGAAAATGAAAAAAAGAATTGTAAAATTTTCATAATAAACTAAATTCCATTTTTATGTTTAATTATTTACTATTAAATCCAAAAAAATGACTATTTTATTTTAAAAGAATACAATTGCTCTTTTTTTCTTTTTAATATTAGTTTAAACCCGAAACTATAATACCTTATCAAACTATATAAATTAAAAAAGAAATTTAAGAATTAATTTATTATTAATACTTTAAGATCTTAATGACCATGATTTTAAAAAATAAAAGCTATCAATACTAATCATCTGCTTTGATTAATTTATTGTCTTCAAATCTTCCCTTTGTTACTTTTCCATCAATATCTTCAATACATCCTTAACCATTCATTTTATCCTATTTCCATTCTCCTGTGTATGTTGAACCATCTTGCCACTTGTATTTTCCTTTTCCTTCTTTTTATCCATTAACAAAGTATCCTTCATAAAAATCTCCATTATTATACTGATATGTTCCTTTCCCTTAAATCTAGCCTTCGTACCATTCTCCAATATAAATGGATTTGGATGATGACAATTCTATTTTTCCATTACCGTGTTTTTAATCATCTTAATACTAACCATCATAAATGTCTCCATTTTTATAATAATAAATTCCTTTTCCATTTTTTTTTCCTTCCTTCCAACATCCGTCATATCTATCACCATTTGAATATTTCATTTCTCCTTTCCCATTTTTTTAATCATTTTCCCAATTTCCATCATATTCTGATTTCTCTTTGCTATATTTATACTTAGCTTTTCCTGTTTTTACACCATTTTCTATTACTCCTTCATAAACATCTCCATTTGAAAGTTAGTAAATACCGTACTTATTTCTGGTTCCCTAACTCCATTGACCAGAGTAAATGAATTCGTAATGATTATTTTGATTTCTTTTAGCTTTCAAAGTTCCTTCGCCATGTTAAACTCCATCTTACCATGATCCTTCATATATATCTCCATNCAAAATACTTTAGCTAGCTTTTTCATAAAATTATAATTAGTATTAATCAATATTTAACTCTCATTCATATATAAAATATTTATTTATTTTAAAAAAAATTAATTATTCAACTAAATAGTCTAAATATAATGTTTAAATATATTCAAATAAAGTTTAAAAGGAATCAAATTAAATCTTAAATATAAGAGTCGAATTTAAAATATAAAAGATAAAAAATTCTTATAGTAAAGAAAATGAAAAAAAGAATTGTAAAATTTTCATAATAAACTAAATTCCATTTTTATGTTTAATTATTTACTATTAAATCCAAAAAAATGACTATTTTATTTTAAAAGAATACAATTGCTCTTTTTTTCTTTTTAATATTAGTTTAAACCCGAAACTATAATACCTTATCAAACTATATAAATTAAAAAAGAAATTTAAGAATTAATTTATTATTAATACTTTAAGATCTTAATGACCATGATTTTAAAAAATAAAAGCTATCAATACTAATCATCTGCTTTGATTAATTTATTGTCTTCAAATCTTCCCTTTGTTACTTTTCCATCAATATCTTCAATACATCCTTAACCATTCATTTTATCCTATTTCCATTCTCCTGTGTATGTTGAACCATCTTGCCACTTGTATTTTCCTTTTCCTTCTTTTTATCCATTAACAAAGTATCCTTCATAAAAATCTCCATTATTATACTGATATGTTCCTTTCCCTTAAATCTAGCCTTCGTACCATTCTCCAATATAAATGGATTTGGATGATGACAATTCTATTTTTCCATTACCGTGTTTTTAATCATCTTAATACTAACCATCATAAATGTCTCCATTTTTATAATAATAAATTCCTTTTCCATTTTTTTTTCCTTCCTTCCAACATCCGTCATATCTATCACCATTTGAATATTTCATTTCTCCTTTCCCATTTTTTTAATCATTTTCCCAATTTCCATCATATTCTGATTTCTCTTTGCTATATTTATACTTAGCTTTTCCTGTTTTTACACCATTTTCTATTACTCCTTCATAAACATCTCCATTTGAAAGTTAGTAAATACCGTACTTATTTCTGGTTCCCTAACTCCATTGACCAGAGTAAATGAATTCGTAATGATTATTTTGATTTCTTTTAGCTTTCAAAGTTCCTTCGCCATGTTAAACTCCATCTTACCATGATCCTTCATATATATCTCCATTTATGTAGTTCAATTTTCCTTTACCATTCTTCTTATCATTTTGCCATTCCCCTTCATATTTATCTCCATTTAGATAATAATAATCTCCTTATCCATTCCTCTAACCTTAGGAAAATTAACCTATATAAATTTCATTATTTCTATATTTTAATGACCCCTAACCTTCAAATTTATTCTACCATCCTCCAAAATAGACCTCTCTATTTAATTGTTAATGATATTTACCCTGTGAAGAATTCACATCTTCCCTTTCCAATTCTTTAGCCCTAATTTAATTATCCTGTATAAATTCCATTTTCATATTCCTTTTTTGATCTCTAAATGTCTTTGAGTTATTCATCAAAATATTTTTCTTAAGAATTCCATATTTACTCTATTGATATCATAACAATTCAATTTTTATTTTTAATAGAAAATGCAAGTTGTTAATAAATTATCTATTTAATGTAAATATATATATTAAATATGATCTATAGATACTAATTTTTTAACTGATCACATTGATTTATTAAGGGTTTTTTAATAATTTATTAAATAAAATAAAGCTAAATGAAAGACAATTTCATATTTTTTAGATCTCATAAATAAAGTTAATTTAATTAAATAATATAAATGGAAACATCAATTTATTGTTCATAACACTCAGAATATATAGTAGAATACATATTCTTGAATAAAAAAAATATCAAGTTTGGTTGTGTGGAGTGCATTTCAGATTTGTAAGATGAAAATTAGAATGTTTGCTTCAAAAATATATTGTTATTACATGATGTAACTTATCTTTAATTTTTTAGATTAAATACAATCCCTAAAGATTATTGTAAAATATTTAAAATATTGAAGACACAAATTTTTAGTTTTTTAATCGCTTTCATTATAAGAGTGTGGCTAGAATAAAGACAACTTTCTAAAATTGGGAAAACAATTTGAGAAGTTTCTAAAATCAGATTGATTAATTTATTCTTGAATAAAGAGCAATTTTTGAACACCTTATTACTAACTATAATAATACTATTTAAGTTATTTCATAGGTAAGAATGATTTAACTTAGGATATCAAAATTGAGGAATTTTAAAATCTCATAAAAGAATTTGGAACTGTTAATGATAATTTACAAAGAGATGTTGAAGAACAAATACTAAATAAAATAAATCAATATATAGAAAATCTAGAGAAAAATAATGCAAAAGAATTAAATGATACATTAAAACGAATAAAATATTAGTACATTAAACAATCAGAAAAGTAATTACATATGTTTAGCTTAGTTAAAAATTCCCTGATATTTAAGATTTAGAAAATTCATTTATGCAAATGATTAAATCAACAACTGATTTAAATAAATAAATTGAAAAGTCTTTCAATCTTTTAAATTAAATGAATTCTTCATTAGTTTCTAATAGCTATTCTAAATATTTAATAGATCTTATTTAAGAGAAAACAAATAAAAATATTAAAGAAATAAAACTGCTTTATTTAGGATCTAGAGATGGGCTTAATGGATAATCTTTGTGGAATAAAATTGATGGTAAGGAGAATTTGATATTTATTTTTAAATCAAAAAATGCTGGAAAGAATATATTCGGATCATATATCTAGTGTAAAATGATCTAAGAATTAAATAATTGGTAATCTGATGAAACAATGAGTTCATTTATTTTTTCTTACACTCATAATGAAATATATCCTCTAAAATAAGATGAAAAGTAACATGCTATTCTTTGCTAACCAATAAGCTATGCTGTTTGGATCGGAATGAGTGGTAATATTGGAATTTGTAATGATTTCATTAATGGATAATCTTATTTAGGTTCTTCGTATGAATGGGATAAATTTGAAAACAAGCGAAGTTCCCATTTGTTTGGAGGAGATAAACCAAATATTGAAGAATGTGAAGTCTACGAATTATTAATATGAAAAGAAAAAAGATACATATCTGGATTATTGAATTTATATTATTTATTTTTTAGTATATGAATAAAGTGATTATAAATTAGTTTTTATAAATCTTTAAACTTCTTAATAAGAGATTTATAATGTTAAATAAAAAACATCATACAATTAAAAATGATTAATGGTTTAAAAAGTGATAATTCTTTAATTGCTTATTTAAGTACTGATAAAATTATTATAGCCAATCATAATTTCTAACAAACCTTTTCTAAATAAGCTCTTTCTGCAAGTTCAGTGGATAGTTCAATTTTAAGTTTCTAAATTTCATCCCTTTAATGAGAATTTTCTTTCAATTATTATTATAGCATATGTCTTTTATTGCTAATTATATTTTTAAAGAAATACTTCTGTTAAAGATTTTCCAAAGTTTACTCCATTTATTATATATATATTTTTAAAGTTCTATTTTCTTCCTAAGTATCATATCCTCTTTAAAAAGGACTCTTAGATTATCTCTTATTTTACATAGGTTATGTATAGACTCTGAAACATGGTTGATTAACTCTAATGATTGGTTAAGTTTATTATGCCCTTTGAATGAATGAGTTAGCTTGACCAAAACTAAAAGTTTATTATGTAATTGCAGGTGGTTATGATAATCTCATAAAGCTGTTATTAATTTTTATTGTGTAATTATTTGAAATATTTAGAAGGAAATTAATTCATAATCGATTTCATCAAATATTTTAATAAAATTATGACAGAATAAGCATTAGACTTTGATTACATGTTTAAATTAGTTATTATAGGGGATTCCTGTAATTAAGTTAAATTACATTAGCCGTTGGAAAATCATGCATTCTCAGTAGAATAAATGGAAACTCTTTTAAAGAAAACCACGAAGTGACATTGGGTGTTGATATAGCTACTAAAATATTAAAAGTTTAAGGGAAAATTATAAAAGCAAGAATTTGGGATACTGCAGGATAAGAAAATTTTAGATCGATTACAAGATCTTATTATAGAGGGTATAATAAATTTATTATAAATAGAGCAATTGGGATAATGTTAGTATTTGATATGAAAAACAGGACCTCTTTTGATAATATAATAAGTTGGCAATAAGAAATTAATTAATATGCTAATGAAAAAATTAGTATAATACTAATTGCAAATAAATCAGATCTTATGAATAAAAGGTAAACTATTTTTATATTAAGGGAAGTAACTACTGAAGAAGGATAAAAATTAGCCAAAAAAATTGGAAGTTAATATATTGAAACCTCTGCTTTAACAGGTAAAAATATTGAAGAAGCCTTACAATATTTATCTCAATCCATATTAAAATTGATTTAAGAAAATCAAATAGATTTGAGTAATAAAAATTGTGGAGTTTTGCTTCCAAATAAAACTGAAACCCCAGATGAATCAATTATTTAAGATAAATGTAAATGCTGAGTTCTGGAATTTTAAGTCTGTAAAATTTATATTGTATATTAATTTACAAATTATATTTTAAGGTTTAACATAATTCAATTTTCATTCTATCAATCCTTAATTTGTTCTTTTATATTCACCAGAACATCCATTTGGACAACAGAATCCTGCAATTAACCAAATCACTCCTAAACCAATTAGACCCATTGCTGTCTCTGTAGAATTCTCTCCAAATTGACCTATAAGAAATACTAACCCAATTATCAACATTAAAATTCCTAATATATAAAAGAAGTTTCTTCTTTTTTTTTCTGTGCAACCACAGCAACCACCATCAGCATAGAAAGCTACATTAAGATCTCTGTTAAATTTCTTTAGATCTTCTATTTATTTCATTTATGCATCCCATGCTAAACAATTACTACATTAACCATCATAGTTTTATATATGCTTGCATCTAGGACATTCATATTTTACCATTATTATATATAATAATAATTTAAATTTATGATCATTACGCATTTACTTAATCAATAACTGATAAAATATATGAGTTAAAGAAATAATCAAACTAATTTATATTTATTTTTGGGTACAACGTTTCATCAATTTCTATGTTTTCTTAAATGTTTGATCTTATTTCAGAGAATTTTTGAAAATTTCGCTTATCTCTCTCATCAAGAGAAAATAAATAATTTATGTAGGGTTTCAATATTGTCGAGGTATTTATCTCATTTTTTTCTATTTATAGTATTTCTATCTTTTGAAAAATATTCTGTAAAAGATTAATTTCATGTAGGTGACAGATTCGATTATGTTATAAAGTTAATTTAGTAATTTTATTAAAAGTAAAGAGATTACAATTCTCTAAACTATTCAATTCATAATATTTTAGAATCAAACTATCCACTTCAATTTAATCAATATTTTTAGGATTCCCATAGACAATTAAACATTTTGAAAGAATAAAATACTTGCTTACACATTTTTCAATTGATTCTTTGTGATTAAATTACTATTTAATTTAATTAATTTTTTCTATTTCATTTTAAGTAAATAGATCTGATTTTGTCTTTTTGTTGATTTTCTTAATAAATGAAAAATCAGGAACAAAATTTATTTATGCTTGCTTAACAGAAAATTAATTAATATATTTATCTCTCTTTCCTTATTAACTTATTTCTGCTCTATAATTATTGCTATATTCTCCTGAATTTTTTTTAATTATTTTTTGAATTAGCTATTAATTAAAAGTATATCCTTATTTATTTTGAGAAGTTTAAAGAAAGGGTGTTGTCTATTCATTAAAATCAATTATGTTTAATTTTTATTCTTTTGAAATTAAAGCATCGGAGGTATCTAATTTTAAACTTTTTTGAGTTTCTACAGATTTACATCTTAGTTTGTTTGGTTTTATTTATCCATTTAAATCACAGAGATAATCTAAATAGTTTTCATATTAAACAAATCTTGAAAATGGATTACCCTAAACATAAATTTATTTTATTTTAGGGATCTTAGCTAATTATGATTATTCAAATGCTTTTATTATCTGATTATTTTGTAATGATAAAAGTTATAATTACTCCAAGTAAGGGATTTCAGTAAAATAAGTAATCTAAATCAATCAAATACATACTTTATTTTCATCTAAATAAACCTTTTTTAAATTATACAACCCATATAAATTTATTGAAGAGATATTATTCTTTTATAAATTAAGAACTTTTAAATTATTCAGATTAGATAGATCTACTCTTTCTATCATATTAATCTTAGCATCGAGAATTTTTAAACATTGAGGTAGATTTTTAACTTCTTTCAATTTATTGTAAGATATCATAAGAACTTAAATATTTAATTAATTTATCTCTGTTATTTCTTTTATTTAGTTTGCTGATAAATCAATATAATTTAAATTTTTGTATTCCTAAAGACCTTTCATTGATGTTATTTAATTATTCTTTAACACTAACATTCTAAAAAAATAATTCTAAAATACTCTTTATTTAAGTTTTCTTATATTATAGGAATTGAATGTAAATACTATTATGATTCAACATTATTAATTATCTATTCTTTTTCAAAATGCTTCACTTTAACTGGCCTTCTTTTAGTTGACTCTGCTCTAATCATCATTTAAGATAAAGCAACGATTTATTATTAAGTTGGTGTTTTGATCTATAATCTAGATGGGGTTTTCCATCTAAAATTTGATTTAGTCTGCATTGATTAAAAATTAATATTAATTTTAAGTTAAAAAAATTTCTAAAACAAATGTTCTATTCAAATTTATTTTTTTAAACAAATTAGTTCTTGAATATCATTTTTAAACATTTTAGATTATAGGATTATTATTATTCTAATTTTTCATATAATATATATAATTTTGTATTACTTAAAATTTTATCATAATCATGAAAATCGTAAATTTAAATATCATTAAACTCTTGATTGGACCATTTCTTTTGCCTGATAGATGTAGAAGGCATCAAGAATGATTAGATTACATATATATTTTAAATAATAAAAGAGATGATTTGATCAATGATAGGCTTAAATTAGTTAGAAAATATAGATTATTATATTTTGAGGCATCTTATTTTACCTTTTTTTAAGAGCATTTTTAATAAAAGCAATTAAAATAAAAAAATTATAATATCTTTGATAATTTAATTTAAAAGATATATTAAATTCATAATTCATAAATTTTGTAATTTTGGAGAAAAAATTCATTATATTAATTTATAAAATTATTTGTTTTTTTGATACAAAGAAAATGCAGATCAGCAATTAATTGTAATTAAGTTCGACTTTACAGTAAGAAATATCTATATTATTAAGATAATTACTAAAACAGTTCTACATTCCTTAACTATTATAGTTTTAGTTAAGTATATACAGCAATACTAGTTAATAACTTGGATTTGCAAACTAAAGTGCAAATTAAAATGACTAATTGATCATCAAAGAGGAATATTAGGAAGAAGCCTAAACAAACACAAAGAATACTCCATGTATGAAATCAAAGTTTCAGACAAAAAAAAAAAGCAATTCTTCAGTTTTGCATAAATTAGAAAATTCTTAGAAATATAATGATCAAGTGAAATCTAAAAAAGTAATAAAATGACTATAAATATAATTTTAATAAACCTACTTAAATAAATAAAAGAGCTATTTTCTTAAAGTGAGCCTATATAATTTAATCAATAAATTTATGGCAGTACAAAAAATTAAGAAACATTTAATGTTAATTATATAATTTGAATATATTGATTAAAATAAATAATAATAATTATTTTTATAAAATGGCAGAACCTTTGACAATAAAATTATTAGTAGTAGGAGATGGGTCTGTTGGAAAAACCTGCATATTATTAAGGTAAATTAATTAAAACAGATGAATTGTATAGTTATACAACAGATAAATTTCCAACAGATTATGTACCAACTGTTTTTGATAATTATTAATCAAAAGTTCAGATTGATGGACAAGATGTTAATTTAAGTTTATGGTATAATTATGATTAAAATTAGGGATACTGCTGGATAAGAAGGATATAATTAAGTTCGATAATTAAGCTATGATGGAACCGATGTTTTTTTAATTGTTTATTCAGTGACTGAAAATACAACTTTTTAAAATGCTCTAGATAAAGTAAAACTATGAGATTTTAATTTAAGTGGTATCCTGAATTGAATAAAGATAAATTTGCTTCAGTTCCTAAGTTAATAGTAGGTAATAAAATAGATATGAGAGACGAAGCCAATTCTAGACATATTAAAAAATCAGCTGTAAATAAATAATTAAAATAAAGGCTGAATAATTAGTTAAGAATATAAATGCTTAATTATTTGAAGTCTCAGCATTAACATAAGAAGGATTAAAACCTTTATTTGATACAGCAATTAGAATTGCTTATAATAAAAAGTAGAAAGAAATCATGGATTCTAAAAAATCACAATAGCCAGCATAAACCAATTCTTGTTGCTAGCTGATATGAATATTCATTTTAGTAATTATTGATATAATTTAAATAATTAAATGGATTCTGAAGATATACTTGAAAAGTTATTGGAATCTTTTTATGATGAGAAAATAGAGCCTAAAAAAGAAGCAGCAAAGAAAATTCTGGGGTTAGCTGCTAGATAGGAAAACTTAGAATTATTAATATCTCATGGTATTTATTTATGTAATAAATGCAGAACAATTTTTATCAACGATATCTCGAACTTTAAGAGATGAACATAAAAAATCAACAGAGCTAACTCTCTACTTACTTTGTGTTTTTTACATTATTTCAAATTATTTAGATTTTCATTAAATATTATCAGAACATTAGATTGGAGATATAACAATGAAAATAATAGAGTCTCAAATCTAGAGATTTGATTTAAGATATGCTGAATTAATGGAAAAATAGGGTTAACCTTCATAATTATAAGAGTTAAGAAAATTAAATCTTATGATAGCTAAATAAGAGAAATTGTTTTATGTAGGATTTACTATTTTAATGAATATGGCAGAAGACCCAATAATAGAAAATAAAATGAGAAAAAGAAAAATTATAACATTTTTATTGAGAATGCTTGAGAGAAATAATTTTTATTTATTGATAGTTACATTATTGTTTTTAAAAAAGTTGAGCATAGTAAATGAATGTAAAATGCAAATGGTTGAAGAAAACTGTATCAGGAAATTAAAAAGATTTTTTAGTGCTGATAATAATGTATTGTTACAATTAAGTTTAGGTATTTAATTCTTTTGAGTATATTAGGAGTATTAAAAAACTTAAGTTTTGACTCTGAAGCTCGTTTACAGATTGAATAAAATGGATTTATACCTGATATTGTCAAAATGCTAAAAATACCAAATTATCGATTTGTTTCAATAATTTTATTATATTTACTAACTTTAGATGATAAAATCAGATTAACTTTTGGTTTTACGGAATGCATGACTTTAATAATAAAATTAATGTTACATTTTCCTGAGCCAATAATTGGAAAAGAATTAATAGCATTAGCAGTTAATTTATCAACAAGTTCAAGAAATGTAGATCACATTACAGAACAAGAGTTTTAATAAATAGTATAAAGAGCTATAACAAATTCAGATACATTATTGTTTAGATTTGTAAAAGGTGTGATTGAAAATTCTACGAATCCAGAAATTTAGACATGTGCAAAAGGATTTGTGAGACATTTTATGAAATTATTAGTAACATAAGGAAAAGAAGAAGATATTAAATTTGAAATTATAGGAATAATGAGTTCTTTAGATTTATAAGAAAATTGGATAAAATTGTTGAATGAGCCATTTATTGAATTTCTTCACAATAATCTTGTTGTTGGAATGGTTGATGATGATATAGTTTTAGAAACTATGATGTTAATTTCCTCAATAGCATCATAATAAAATGCAGCTGAAAAATTATTTAAAAGTAGAATATTAAATACTGTGACTTAAGTTTATACAGAAAAAGGAGATGATGATGAATTTATTGTACAATATTTATATTGTTTACATTAATTTCTGTTTCATAAAATAGGAATTTCATTAATTTTGGAATAGTAAGAATATTCATATTTTGAGGGATGAAATCCTATTTTAGATAATATAATAATTAAATGATAAAAACAAAAAAATAAAATAGATGTCGGAGGAAGTCTTAGACATTTTAAGAGAATATGATTAAGAACTGTGTGAAAAAATCAAAGAAACAAAATTTAGTGAATATAATTAATTATGGATTGAGCATCTAAATGAACAAGAGCTCATGTATATACTTATTCGAAAAAAATAGGTTATAAGATGGAGCTGACATGGCATTTGAAGATGAGTATGAAGGTAATGAATTAGATCCAAAAATGTGGGATTCAGACAATGATTGATTATTTTGTTACAAATCCATAAAATAAACTATAAAAGCTATTTTCAATAATTCAAAGCAGAATTATTTAATTATTATCTTCTAATTATAATGGATTTGAAAAGAAATAAAAAAGATAAGAAGTGTGTCATCTGTTTAAATTTAGCCTCTAATTAAGTAAGACTTAAATCATTATTCCATTAGGTATTTTTGGATTAATGTTAACACACATTCTGTTTTATCTGTATATAAAAGTGGTCTGAGAAAAATCACTCATGTCCATAATGCAGAACTATATTTTAAAGCTTTTATGAACAAAAAATTGACCCAAAAATAGAGTAAATTCTATTTAATAAAAATAGTATTAAAATATACTAAGCATCCCCTATAATCAATAATTTAGAGGATAAACGTCTAATGGCTTTAGCTGATATTGATAATAATTACTATGATTTAGTGTTATAATAGATAGATTCTATTTGAATTATTCAAATTAATATAAAATTTATATTAATTAGTTTGTATTTTGATTATATATAATAATTTTAGTTATTTTTACAATCTATAACTCAAATTTATATAAATTCATGATGTCTATTTATTGTTCAAAATATTTCTCAATTTAATAACAGATTTATCTACATCACCTATGTAGAGAACTTGAATGATATTGACTTAACCGTATGGATAGCTTTTAGTTTCTTCGACATATAAATTTTTTAGTGATTATTCTTCTCTCAAAACAAGATGAAGTTTATCATATAAATTTTTAGCAATATCATTTGCTGTCCATCCAAAGCCATATTTATATCCTTTAGATTGAATAAACTCAATGGAATCAGCATATATTTTAAGAGAATGTCTTGCTCCCATATACCTTTTTGAAAAAGCAAAAGCTCCTGTAATACAATATTCTCCATACTTTGGATTATATCTATCAAAAAAGTACTTTAATGCTTTTAGACGAACATATTACCTAACATTACAGATTTATGGGACTGAATCATAATTTTTTATTTATTATTCTGATTCTGTTGGTTTGAGATCGTTTACGTCAGTATAAGAAATTATTGCTATTATATTGTAAATATTCTTTTCATAAGATTGTTTATCATAATAAACTAAAATCCATTTATATGCATGCTTTATTAAAAAAGACTTAAATTCTTGATACATTTAATCATATTCTATATTCAATGCCTTGAATAATTCATTTTTATTCTAAGTATTTTATAAAATTTACAGTGTAAGCATCTGCTAAAGTTTAAGCAATGAGCTCTGTGTTTTCACCATTGTACTCAGTTCTAACAAATGACAATTCTTGTAGTTAAGATTTCAGAATATTTTAATAAATATACATAATAAATTTAATATTCCATAAAGTAAATTTAAAATCAAACTTCTAAGTCACTCATTTTATTTTTGATTTCAATAAAGTGTCCATAAGTCAATCTAACAGGACTGCCTTCTGCAATATGTTCTATTTTTGATTTCTATGCAAATTCATAAGGTTTATTAAAGGTTTCTAAAGTTAATTGTGATAATTAAAAGTATGTTACTAAATAATCTAATAACACAACATCTTTTTCCATATCAACAGGTAAACTTTTAGATAAATCGTCTGAGCTTAATTTTTTATCTATTTCTTTTTGTAATTCTTTAATTGCTTGGCGTAAAACAGAATTAAATATTATGTAGAATGATTCGAATTCGGTAAAGTTTTCATCAAAAACAGCATCGAATTTTTTATCAATAGATAAGTCATTTTTGTTCTATTATAATAAAGACCATATATTTTTAAAGTATGATTAATATTTAGTAAAGTGTTACTAAATTGTAATTTAGGTTTATTAAAACTAATTTGAGGTTTTGTATGAATCGAATCCTTAAATATCTAGAGAATTTGAATCCTAAATGTAGATAATAATAATTACAATATCTTTGAGTTTGTACATTTTGATCATAATATTTTTTATAGAAAAGAATAATAATTTATCCCTAAGTAGTTCAGTTCTAAATAAGTTGGTACTTTCAATAAGATTTGCAACTCTGAACAAATATTTGCAAAAATTAATTTGGGACATTATAGTATATTCAATATTAGATGAATTACTTTTAATATCAAAAGAACTTATTTCAGCTAAAATTTATATAAATAAAAATACTTTATTTAGATTATTATGCTAAAGGTTTAGTAATTTGAGTAGTATGTTTTTTTCCACTTCTATGAATAGAATCTCCAGGTAATTTTTTGGCACTGTTTTCTTTGCCTTCTTTTGGTTATTCTAATGTTTTTTATTTCATTAAAACTGGCTATTTATTAACTTAAAATGCTAATTCTGGTCCTCTTATCCATGGATGTTTTTCTAGTTCATCTATAGATGCACGTTCTTATTCATTTACAACTAAACATCGTTTTATAAATTCTTTGCATTCTTAACTAACCTTAGTAGAAGATGGAAATGTTAATGGTACACTTACCATTTTTTATCCTAATTCTTTTTCACTTGTTGCCTACCAAGGAACTTAACCAAATAATATTTCAAAGGCTGATACTCCTATAGCCCAAATATCAGATTTATCTGAATATTTATTATTCTTAAGAGCTTATGGACTCATATAAAGAGGACTACCAACATTTACATTTGGTAACAATGGAGGAGAGTTAGGAGTGGTTGCAAATCCAAAATCTGCTAATTTTGGAGTACCACATTATGATAATAATACATTCGCAGGTTTTATATCTCTATGTATTATCCCATTCTATTTCAGTAATTTATAGGCTTTAACCAATCCAAAAATAACATTTTAAGCTTATTGTTCTGGAAATTTACCAATCTTTGTCAATTTACTTCCCAAATCACCATTCTCACAAAATTCTGTTATTAAATAAGTATTATTTTAGGTCTGAAACACCTATAAACTTAATTGTATATCATACTTTGTATAATTTCATTATATATTAACTATCTAAAGTACTAAGAGCTTCTATTTCACTTTACAATAAGGCATGATGCAAAGGTGTCTTCAATAATGCTTTGTCGATTACCTAAATAGTCTTCATATTACCTTTATCGCTACTGTATCACCTGTTACTTCATTTTATCCTTTGTAAACCTTACTGCTGAATCCTTTTCCTATTTACTAATGAAGTCCATAAGAAAAGTTCTCGATCATCTTTTTTACATTCTGTGATGATCCATTAGTATATGATGGATGTTATGAGTACATCTATTTCTAAGCCAAATACATTAATAATTTAACGAACTATTTTTATTATTAAAATTATATTTCACGCCATATGACTCATATTAAACCAAAATTCAAAATATTTAAAATAGAATTAAAATATTATCTATACTATTATTTGTTGATTAAATTTATATTATTCAATATTCCAACATTTAAATTCTTTTTTTCATGCCTGAAGAAAATCATCTAAATAATAATTGATTCACTTTATTATGAGTAGAATAACAAGTTTATCTTTAAAATTAGAATTTAATATCACCTATAATCAAGTTAGATAAATTTGTGAAATAAAAGTTAAAATAAAACAGACTTCATTCAAAATTACAAATTTTATTCTTCATTTTAAGTAAGTAGATATTGTCTCAATATAGGAGATAATGATTCTTAACTTGCTTTTTTAAAAAAATGCCATCTTTTTATCAAAACATTTTGGTTACCATTAATTTTAATCAAATATTTTTAGCATTAATTCCATATTATTAATTATAGTTTTATTAAATAAAACATTACTTAATTTTTTAGATATTTTTTCGATTTTAATTTAAATTGAAACCCATTCAATCTCTTAAAAAATGATAATATTTGGATAGCATTTTCAATTTGAAAAGAGAAATTGAAAATTAAGAAACACATTGTTTTGTAAAATCTTAATTTATATTGTTATCATGTTTATGAGTAATAATTATAATTATAAAGGCTTATTATAATATTGATTATAAATAAATCAAATTTTTATTACTATTCTATTTTTAGCTACATCTTTAATCTATTTTAATAAAAATTAAGGTATTCTATTCTCTATTCGCGATTGATTTAAAAAACTTTTACCTTTCCACTTTTGAGTCTTTTCTACAAAGGTCAGAATGAAAAAATAAAAATATTTAAGAATATTAATGGATTATAGTTTTAGAACAACAGATTTGGTTTTATTCCTTTTAATAACTCAACTTGGCTGTCATCTGATAATTCATTGGAATTAATATAACTGTGATATTTATAGTTAATATTTGCTTGGATTTTTATTGTTCTATTAATATAATTGTTTCAACATTCATTATATAATAAATGAGTTTTGCTTATAGTTTTACTTTTAACTGGAGAAACAGTTCAACAAATTTAATAGCAGTTTAATAAGATGACTGTGTTTAAAAACTAACATATATATTATATTGCATATTTGGATATATTTTAACTATTTCTTCTTTTTCAAATTTCTAAGCATAAGTAAGAAAGCTTAATAATTGAAAGTAGTTGGTTTGACAATTTTGTGATAATAATAAATTTATATTTATAATGTTCAATGAATATTTCAACAAGGAGAAAATGGAGCTTCTCCTACTTTTTAATTGCACTCAGGGCAATATTGAACCACATCTTTGCAAGGTTTACAACAAAAAGGTATCAACCCTCCAATGAATGTCAGTATACACCAGATACCACAACAGATTAATGTCCAAGTTCCAATTTTATGATCAACCATTGATTCCTAAACTTTTGTACATTTATTGCAGAAAAACTGAGAAGATTCTCTTTCATTATTTAAACATGTTTTATAATTCTTCTGACCTTGACTTACGGTTAGAGGGACGGATTCTTCTGCCATTTTAATTGATATTTTAGAGTTTAATTATAATAATGATCATAAAAAACGATATACTTGTTTTTTGTTTCAAAATATGCAATTAAAAACAAAAAGCTTAAGAAAAACTGTGGTGGTAGAAAATTAAATAAGAATACATTTTTAGTAAATGAAAAAAAAAGAAATTTTTATTAATTAAATTTGAAATGCAATATGAAGAATCAGATTATTATTTATTATTGGGATCGTCTATTTTTATTAATATAACATTAATAGCAATAACAATCTTTTTATGGAAAGTCATTTGGCTCTAATATCCAATATTTATTGACGAATTTTAAATAAAATCATTAAGCGATGCATATAACATCATTCAAATAGCAAATATAAATTTAATAATAAATTAATGTGGCTTTGATGGATTAACTTTACTACTATTTGAGTAAAAATTATTCGTTGGTTTAAGCTATTATACAATAGTATATTTTCTAATAATGGGAATATGTAAAATATCATGGAACTATTTAAATGATTATTAAAAGCTATTTGTATAATTGAATATATTGCCAAATTAGGATTTCATTATTAGTTCAATGCTGCTTTTGGTAATTTTTGCAATGTTGATTTAATTAAGAAAAGAGCTATAAATAATTTATATTCAAATGTTTACAACAGATCAATTCACAAATTATAGCATAAGAACTTTGCATATAAGAGGAATGGATCATGAAGATTATGATGGAGTGATGATGATGTTAGAAATCTTAAAGTATTTAGATGAGGTAGGTGATCCAGGAACAATTATGGGTATTTCAATCATTCCAGAATACTCTAAGCTCTTAGAATTAGAGAAATACAGAAGTTTATTTAAATACCAATTGGGAATTTTAGAATTGTAGAAACCCCTATTCTACCCTCTGCCTAATATATCAATTATAGAAGAATAAATAGACCAATAATTATAAAAACCATTTAAATTATCAGGACATTGCTTTATATGTGTTGATAGATTATAAACACAATTAAAATTATGCAATTAAAATACTTTAACTCAATATCAAATATAATTAGCTCCTGATTTATTTGATATCAATTGGGTTAATATAACTATAGAAAGTAATTAAATCAGAATTTGGAGGACAATTATTCTTAATTTATTAATTATGACTTTGCTTATTTTTGTGACATCTCCTTAAGCGTTATATTAGTATTTATCTAAATTTCCTGGCTTAGAATTTTTATCTTTTAAATGGACAATTTTAATCCCTGATCCTTTTGGAAGAATAATTAAGAATAACATACCTCCTATTATATTAATATCTATAAACTAAATCATACTATATTTTTTAGATGTCATAAGTATAAATATTTGTGTATCTTTTTAGCTTAAGCAGAAAAACATGAAAGATGGTCATAATATCACATTTCCTTTTTCCATAAAATGTTTTTTTATTTGATTCTAAATGTTTTAGTAATTCCAGCCTTTTTATTATAATCATCAGAAACTTTGTTTAATATTACATATAATGGATTTAATATACAATTACAGAAAGCATTTGATAATTAAACTAATTATGGGGTAAATTTTAATATTACATTCTAGCTCTATTATATAACATTTTTATTTTATTCTGGAACTGGTGCATTTTTGGTAGAATTGATTAGACCCTCAGAACTCTACTTCAATTATTTTAGTTCATATATGGCATATTACATGAGATTATACGAAAACGATGCATAACATTATTAGAAATCAAATGAATTCTGTGTATAGTATGGTTACATATCAGCTCAAATGCTTTTAAATCTAACAATCATATGCATTTTTAACACAACCTCTCCATTTGTTTTAATTGCTGGATTATGGTTCTTTGGATTTCGATATATAGGAGATTTTTTTATGTTGATGGTTTCCAAATAAGAAATGGTTAGCAATGGAAAATATCTTTATAGCTTATTATAATTAAGTTGCTTTACTTTAGGACTTTGGTTAATTGTCAAAGTCATTGGTTGTTATTTTTAATCAAATTATTTGATGATGTATTTATTTGGAATCGAACTTATTGCATGGGTATTTATAGGACAAAATTTTTTATAATAATTAATTGACATTAATTAAATACAAGACGAAGATATGAAGTAGAAAATAAGCAATAAAAAATATATGAAGGAATGGAAAATTAAATATAGACATCCATTATCATGAATCTGGTATTTCATTAAATCTTGCTGCTGATCTAGATCCTAATTGCTTTCTTGCTAATTCACTATAATCATGTTGCTAAACTTCTAAAATAAATCTAATAATCACTTGGTCTATGCAATTATTTATAAGCTTAATTTCTCTAATCATCTGGAGCCCAAAATTATTTATTGTATGTAGCTTGTGCAGTCTATAATCTGTCCAGTAATTACTTAAATATAATCAAATAATACTTAATTTTCTTATTGTAATTTTTCAATTTGAATTCTTTTTGTCATTTATTATGATTTAGGTAATTATGGCATAGAAGTAAGACTTTTATTTCCTTATTTCTAAATATTAACCATTTTATTTAAAAGTATATTATTTTCATAAACTATCTTGTTTTCTTCGGCTAATTTTCTATTAAATATGACTTGTACCATGTGAATATTTATTATTCCATTTTGAAAGGGAATGTGATGGTCTCCAAGGTGCAGATGTATCTATTCTGCTTTTTGTATTTGTTATTTTAGATAATAACTTTTCTTAATCGTTTACTATTTTCTTTCTTTAACAGATAGGATTTATTGAAATAAGGTTCCACATAAATTTAATTAATTTGTTATATGTTAATTAAAATAATGTATTTGAAATAATGTAAATGCATAAACAAGTTTAATATTCAATAAACATTACAGTAAATTAAAAATTCCTTATTAGAGTTGTTTTGTATTGCATACAATTATTATTTATGTTGTTATTAATTATAATTTTAAATCAACATTAGTGAAGAATAATTAAATCTATTTCTTCTCTATGAATCTAATTTAATTATAAACTAGATATTTAAGAATTTATAAAATGAATAGAAATAAGAAGCAAACTAAAATTTTATAATTTAAGTTGAATTGTTATTTTTATATAATAAGTGTCTAAATAAGTAAATCAATTAATGAGTTTTTTCTTCTTGAACATGGTTGACAAACTCTAATGGTTGATATTCTAAGAAATGTCTTGCAAAGATTTTCTATATGTAGGTCTAATATCTAGTTTAGAAGGTCTCAAATTTTTGTATGATTTTTAACTGCATTAAGATGTAGCATCAGAATGGTTATCAAATATTGTAAGCAAGGTTTCTTCAAAGGGTTCTACAAGGTTCATTATTAGATTATTCTTTGTTATTAGGAGATCTTAAAATGATTATTTATATTTTACCTTTAAGTTCTCCCCTTTAGTTTTCATTAATTTATTCAGACTTATATAGACGATAAATAGCAAACAAAATTTTCGATTCATATTCGTTAGACATATAAATTATTATTCATTTTAATTTAAATGAGTAGAGATAGAGGGGGTGTATAATTATAAAAATTAATATTAATTAAGTTCTGATTTAATAAAAAAGGTGAATGAAAAAAGGAAAGTGCTAAAATTGATAAAAAATGAAGTTTATTCCATTGTGCTGCACTATTTTGGAATAGTTTTAGTCATTTTTTATGAACAACAACCAATGAAAATTTAGATATACAATTATCCTTAATCAGCCAATCAGATTTAAGAATTTTCTTTAAAATAGCGCTTAGGTATTCAGTTTAAAATATTAATTAAAATGGCTCCATCAAAATCACCAAAAGCAGAAGCAAAAAAAACAGTAAAGACTGTTAAAACAAAAAAAACAACAACAAATGATAAGAAGAAGGCAAGAAGAAGATAAGAAACTTTTGCATTATATATCTATAAAGTTTTAAGATAAGTTCACCCAGAGATTGGTGTTTCTAGAAAGGCTATGAATATCATGAATTCATTTATTAATGATATTTTTGATAGAATTGCACTTGAAGCTAGCAAATTAGTCAGATTTAATAAGAGAAGAACCCTTAGTTCAAGAGAAATCTAAACTGCTGTTAAATTATTACTTCCAGGAGAATTGGCCCGACATGCCATTTCAGAAGGAACTAAAGCAGTCACAAAATATACAAGTGGATGATTTTTTAATTTTAATTAAGTTCAAATATATTGTAAAAGGGACTCTTCCTACTCTTATAATTCTTTTAATAATTATATTTTTTGATCCAACAGTACTTTATTACTCTGTTCATTCTCCATTTCCTTTATTTCTTTTTCTAATCTAGAAATTCTTCTAATCAATTATTCATATCCTTAATTTTCATTATTAAAATATTATTCAACAGCATTATCTAATCTTGATACAAAACTTGTTTTCTTTTCACTTTACGTAAATCTAACATCTTCTTTTCTTGGCTCTTTTAATTTATAGATCACTGATTTTAATTTTTGAATTTATTCCTATTATTCACTCAATTATTATTTATCAATTAATTATTAATCCATTACTCTACTTTAATCAATTAAAGATTAATGTAATTCTTAAGATAAACTCTCTATTTAAGCATCCTTTTGTAGAAGTTCTTCATCTTTCTTAAATAACTCTTCTTCTAGTTAAGAAATTGTTGTCTTAAGTTTATTTTCTAAAGTTTCAAATATACTTTCTTTATTTGATAATTCTTCCACTAATTTTTGTAATTCATATTAACAACTTTTTAATTAGGTAACCAAAATTTTATTATCTTCTTCCAAAAATGCTGCCTTTTTTTGTAGTGCTGCCATTGCATTAGCAAAACTAATTTTATCATTTAATTTTTAATTACGCTCTTGATTCTGACATAATTGTTAAGTATTTTTATTTATAAAATTTATTTAATATAATATGTGTAATTTTTTAGAATTTATAAATAATTTAGATCTTATATTTGTAGTACTTTTAAATATTTCCGTCCAAATTTTTTCTATAATTTTTAATTGATAAAATTCAAAGATAAGCATTATCACCAAACTCAAATATCAAAGTCATCAAAATTACAAAAAAATTTAACCTTAACATATGTCTTTTATATAGGTTATAACCCCACCTCTTCTTAGCTATTAAAAGCTGATTCTATTTTACAAAAGCAATCAAGCTTAAAAAAAAGAAAAACCCAAATAGAAAAATTTATAAATTTATATAAAAATGATGTTTATCTATAATTTTAAAATGTCAAGATTACTGATTTAAATTTCTCTTCCATAAAATACATTTATTTTTAAGTCTAACCCAAATTTAGATACTATCAAAGTGATAAATATGCTTGCCAAAATAATGTATTCTTATAGTTGTATTATTTTAATGAAGCTAAGAAGGCTGATCTAACCAAAATACATGTACATTCAAAAGCAAAAAAAGTAATTTTTATATTAGATAGAGTTATTTTAAAATTTGAACTATCATGTAATAAGATATGGAGCCTAATATTTTGGAGCTATTGTTTAATATGTTTTACCAAAACATGTGAAATGTCCACAATGATATTCATGCAATTTTCCTTATATTTTTATTTCTAATTCTCTAAAATCATAACTGACTCTATGGAAAAAATGAATTTATTTTTTAATTAATTTAAATAAATCAAAAATACTTTGTTTAATAAATAATCCCAGCTTCTTGGTTTAGGTTAATTTTTATATTTATCTAATTCATGTTCGGGTGTTCATTCAAACAAACACAATTATCATCGTTTGACAAAAACTTATTATTTATTTTATTTATCTTATATGATTCATATCATGATAATTGCTTGTATAAAAAAATTTTAAATGTTTTTAAAAATAATTTGAGGTTATTTTTATATTTATCAATACTATAAAGAATATTTAGAAATGATGATTTAAGAAGAATCATCAAAAAAGGTTATCCAGAATGGATAGAACGAATATAAATCTATTCGATGATTTTAAAGAAAATTTGAAAGTAGCGAGAAAAATATATAATGAAATTGGATAAGTAAAAGCAAACATAAAATTTTTATAAGAAAGAGATTAAATCTAAAAAATAAAAATAATTGTCAAACATTTTTTTCCAATTTATATAATATAGATAATTTTTACATAATTAAACAAATCACATAAAAAAGCTATCATTATCAAGTATAATTTAGAAATTATAACTAAAAGTTACTAAATTTTAAAAAATATTATTATCTATAAAATGAAATCTTTGAATTAATAATAATAAAATATTAGAAAATCTGATTTAATTATGAAAAATATCAACTAAGTTAATGTTCCACTTTAAAAATTTGATATTAATTTATTAAAGCTCCTATACAAATTAAATTGAAATTAATAATCTTCCCTATTTTAATATTAAGTTTAATAACTACAGTGAATATGATACATGTTATATAAGAATTAGTGAAAGAAAAATAGAATAGGAAAGAAACTTAACTGAGTAAAGATGTTAGTGAAAATAGTTTAGTTTTGTAGAATTAGTTTGAAAGATTAAAATGTGTATGATACATAATAAATTTTTCATTAGCTTATTTCTAACTAACAGTTTATAATATATATATTAATGAAGATAAATTCTGCCAGTTAATAAAAGTTAACTATGACTAGACCTTAAACAACTCCCCAAAAGGCAGGATAGTCACCAATAAAGAAGAATAAGTAAGAAAAATTATTGAAATAAAAGGTATTTGGTGTAATCAGGTGTTTCATCACTAGCTAAAACTGATAATAAAGTGTCAAAATCAACTGCATTGTCTCACGATTTAATATCTTTAATAAAAAATGGTGGAAATGCTCATCAAAATAACTAATAATTGGATAGAAAATAAAATTCTCGGAGTAAATGTATTTTAGACATAAATGATGCAAATTAAAAAAAAAATAGACCAAATTCAAGACAATAAATCTAGAATTTAGTAAAAAGTAAGAAGCCTGACAGTAATTTAAAATATCATGAAGAGCTGATTTAAAAGCAATTTTAGAAATTGTTAGATCTACAAAAGCAACATCAATAAACTCATAAATCACCACCTTAAATACATAGTAGAGCAATGAGTAATGGTGATTTGAAGCCAACAAGCGATATTGCAAATAAATTAATAGAATATATAAAGAAATAATCAGCTAAGAAAATTAAAGGTTATAGATCAATATCTAATCCAGATATAATTGTGACTGATAGAAGATTAATATCAAAATATGCAGTTAAGTAAAGAGTTAATATAAAACAATAGAACTTAAGCAGGAATGTTACATACAAAGTAAGAGAAAGTAAATTAGGATTCTTATGCAATTCATGAAGGAATAGGAAACATAGATAATTCATATTTACTTTAAGTTTCAGATGGACATGGAGTCAATGGTCATGAAGTAGCTTAATTTGTTTAAGAACGATTACCTATAATAATAGATTAGTTATTAAAATCTCATAAAATAGGAAAGAATGATTAAGATATGATGATATAAGTGATTTTAAGATAAGCATTTGAAAGAACAACAAAAGAATTATATTCTTCAGGAATTGATATAACATTTAGTGGAGCTACAACAGTTTGTTTATTGATTATTGAACATGTTGGTTGGTGTGCAAATATTGGAGATTCAAGAGCTATTTTAGGAAGATAAAAAGATGGATTACATGTTGTTGAGTTATCTCATGATTAAAAACCAGATTTACCAAAAGAAGAAAAAAGAATTATATAAAGTGGAGGAAGAGTATAAGCATATTCAGATGAAGAAGGAAATCCTATTGGTCCTGCTAGAGTTTGGTTAATAGATGAAAATATTCCAGGATTAGCAATGTCTCGAAGTTTTGGTGATTATGTAGCTGCTTAAGTAGGTGTAATATCTATTCCTGAAATTATTAAACATACATTTTAAAATGACAAATTCTTAATCATGGCATCTGATGGAATTTGGGAGTATTATTTCATTTTTATTTAAGGTTTCTCGATAATAAATGGATTGTTGAAGTTGTTTATGGGTATTATTTGAAAAATGATGCTGAAGGAGCAGTTGAAAGATTAGTAAAGGAAGCCACTGAAGCATGGTAAAAAGAAGATGAAGTTATAGATGATATTACTTGCATTGTTGCATTTTTGAATTGATTAACAATAAATATCTTAACAATATATATTTCTATTTTTTAAAGAATAATTTTATTAATTATATTATTTTAATGTCAGACAAACCAAATATCCCTGCACCTAATTCTTTGGTTAAATATGCAAGTGCCACTTTAGTTTCTACTTCTGGAAAGCCTATTAAAGATAAAAAGAAAGGAAGAGATGCAGCTCCATAGTCAATTACTAATGCATAAACAGAGGATATATTAAATTCAATTCTTCCTCCAAGAGTATCATATAAATCCTCTAAGTTAGGAATATACAATGGAAAAATAATAATTGTGGATTTAATGTGTCTCTTCCACCCCTGCAAAAAGAGTATATGAACTTTATATTCAAAATAGGAAGATGTTATTCTGCTTTAAGAAAATTTAGATAAAAAATTATAATAGAGATAAGCTAGAGAAACTGGTATATGCCCTATTCGAGAAGAATTATATGCTTAATGTTTTGATGAACTTATAAGACAAGTAATATTTGCAAGTTACAATTAGATTACAATAAATTGTGCTGAAAGAGGACTATTATTAGTTCGAGTCAGGGATGAAATAAGGTAGACAATTTAGGCTTATTAAACTTTATATGAGAGTTCTATTGCTTTTGGCATGAGGAAAGCCTTATAAGCAGAATAAAGAAAAGTAATTAAATTATCTATAATTATTAGACTGATTACAATAATAAAATTAAATAATTAGAAACTGAATGCCAAGATTTAACAAAACAAGTTGAAAAAATAGAATGCACCATAGAAGACATGCAAAAATAAGATTAAGAATTATAAGAACATGAAGAAGCCAAACATAGAGATTAAGTCAATTTCTTAAAAAATGCAAACAAAGTGTACAAAGAAGAGTTAGAAAAGTTTCTCACAGGTGCTAATGTTAAAAAATGATTAACATAATATTACATTTGAAAAAAGTAGAATTCTTATCTTGTATATATATATAAATTTACACAAATTGTATAGATAATAAAAAACATTTTTGGATTAAAGAATTTAGTAATCTAATTTAATTATATAACTTGATAATATTTTTGATAAGAAATATAAATAGTCTTTAAAATGTTTATATTGAAATTTTTTTTGAGATTAATATACAAATTAATATTATATATTAAAAATTAATTAAAGTGTTATAAAATAAATTAAAATAAAGCTTTCTAATATAATTCAATGTTAATACTAAATATTTTAGCAACTCTTGATAGCTCTCTAATAAAATATAAGAAAGCTAAATACTGGTTTATAAAAACCATTAGTAACAAAAAGTAAAATAATTCTAATAGTGATAATCGGACGATTATTAATAAATTCTGTGAAGATTATTTAGTTGAATTGTGTAAATAAATATTTAATTTTTATTCTGATTATATGAATATAAATTTCAACAACGGGAATGATATTCCAATAATGTGTCAAATCCAAAAAGGACTGAATTGATAATAATTAAGGCTACAATAGAAATGATGTTGTTTGCAACTTAAATTATATCTACAATTAAAACTACAAAGCCTACTTTATACTTATTCATCAACATATAAGCAGGTTTAGTGAATAATAGCAACCCTAAAATCTAAAAATTAAATAAATAAATTTACCGCCAAACCAATATAAGCGAATAATTATCCAGTTGTGATAGTTTTTTATAAAAATAACTGTAACAGACTATTAAGTGAAATCATAAAAGAAGCAAAAGCAGAAGTACCAGCTGCTTCTCTTGCAATAATTTTATTATGCAATAAAAATGATACCATAATAATTCCACCTCCCATACCAATAATTCCAGTACTGAAACCTGCCAACCAACCTGCCAGATAATATTACCAGAATATTTTCCTAGGTGTAAAGAATCTATGTTTGGGTCTATATTAGACTAAATCTTTAAAGAATTCTTCGTTTCTTTTATTCCAATAAACAACACATGTATAAATAAAATTGGCTGCTATTAAGACAAGAATAATCAAGTTGTCTTCAGGAGAGCATGGATCTAAACCTATAATTGAATTATTATGATTATTAGCTCTCATCATAATGATGGTCTGATTGATTATAAAGGATCCCATAACAAAGCTAATATTCTTAATCTAAACTTTATTATGGTCATTAACATAAAACTCTTAATACTTATCCAACATCTTTTCATCAAGATTTGTTTCTTTAGCCATTTCTTCTCTTGTCATAATTTTCTCAGACACAAATACCTTGTTATTTCTTTTGTCTTGTTCTAGTTGTCTTTGTGTGAAAGCTAGTATAATTCTTTTAAATTACTAAACTTCCATAAAAATGGAATGGCTCCCATCAAAAAACATAATTAGATGATATAAATAGCAAATGAAGGTAATAGCTGTTAGAGTAGGGCACCTAAGCTAAAGGCAATAGGAATAGCTTAATTGAATATAACATTAATGTCAAAGTTCACTAGGGGTAATTCTGGAATATCGGGATGTCTTTCTCATGAAATTTTAAGATACTTTTCAAAAAACAAAAACAATAAATTTCCTGCTGTTGTTGTAAACAGAAAGCTATCTGCAACTTAGGTTGCAATGCCAGCTGGATAATTTAATAATAGATTTAAAATAGGTCTTTTCGTCATTCCACTTCCCAAACCTCCTAATATTCCGATTCCCAAAAATATTGGAATCAAAGAATATACGAAACCTGTATATGGTGTCAACTCTAAAATAGGATCATGTACACAGGTAAAGTTAATTTCATTCCATTCACAATTACTTAATAGCCAACACCCTTTATCTGGATCACATGCTTAACCACTCATTTTGTTATTTTATATACTAATGTTCTTTTGTTAATATATATCAAAATATATGTAATAATTTATTCATTCTTTAAAAGTTTTTATGTTGGTTCTTTTTGATTAAAATATTAATATACATTTTATGGATTCTTAATATGAGGAGGGAGAAATTATGACTCATAAAAATGACAAATTAGAACGTATAAATAGTGAATCCTCTTTACGATCTCTTGTAAATTTTTTAATTTATTCATAGAGTGACACAAATGGTGATGAAAGATTACGTAAATCTTTATTAGAAAAAACAAGTTCCTTTTCTTATATTTGTGCTATTTTTAATTTCTTAGGTCATTGTACATAAGTTGGTTGCAAGTATTTCTATTAATATTCTTTTAGGAAAAGACATATTTTATTATAGGATGGATTAGATTAATTCATCACTGAGAATATGCAATTATTGAATCAATTGATTAGTAGTGGATAAAACATTAGAGTTCCTATAGAAAAGATAATAAATAGAGAAAATCGCAATTCCAAACACTAAGTAATCAAACCTAAAGTTATGATTAATTATAATCGAGAACTTTGTGAAAAATATTAAAGAGCCTTAACTCATAAATTAAGAAAAGATATTGATAAGATGCAAGATAAACTTAAAACCATTTCATATCTTAAGAAATGGGTTAGACATAATTTCGTAGATGCTAGAGATTTTAGTGAATTGTACTATTCCCTAAATTCTACGCAATAAATTCATTTTATGAACTTTTTTAAAGTTCTTGAGTTATAAACACCCTCATTTCAATGATCATTATACATATCAAGTTTGTTTCTGTGTATATGTAAAAAAAATTATCTAATAATTAAATTGCAATATAAATATCAAAAAATACAAGATTCGATTTAGTAATCAACTAAATGAATTTTTCTAATTCTATTAACATTAAAAAAATGGAGAGAGTATATTAAGAACATATTAGATTCTAAATCCTTAAATATTGTTTGTATTAAAGGAGTATTAAATCAAGTGTTTTATTTAACTATTTAAAATTACTCTTCGTTTTGATGAATCAATACATCAAGTGTTACGTATAATGGTTAATGTAAGAAATTCTTGCATTAGATATATTTAAATAATAATATTAATAATAAAATACAAATCATCAACATAATTATATATTATTATTTTTTGGATTATTACTACTTTAGGAATATCATTTTGAATAGAAAAGAATTAAAGTAATAAGTTTGGTACAAGAGATTTTTGTAATTGTTATATTTAAATGGTTTAGAACCTACATTAATATGATTAAAAAAGATTATTTGTCATTTCATTAAGTTTTTGAATAAAGAGTATAGTTTAAAGGTCACTAAAGACGTGTTGCTTAAGCTAGAGGTTCAAGCTATAATGACTCGGATTATTCAAAGTTAATTGATTAAATGGTTGGGTTTTAGTATAAGATGAGAAGAAGAAATCATTAAATTTAAGAGTAGCAAATATAAGCAAAAAATGATATACTATCTTAACGATTAATGTCTATTTAGAAAACTGAGCCAAAATTGCAATTAAATGAATTAAAAATATTTAGTTCTCGAAAGTAGTTTCAACTGCAACTTGATCGAGAAGTAATAAAACAAAATTCTCGACTGAGAGAGAGAATAAAGTCAATGTATAATTAGGAATTATATAAAGTGAGTCGTAATTAAATAGAAAATCTTTGAATTAAGATTTTGTGAAACATTAAATTACTTTGGAGCGAATGTAAAAGTATAAGAGAAAGAATAATCGATGTGTATTAAAATCGTTAGAGAGAATAGAAAATAGTGAATCACAAAAATAATAATTTAAATTCAATAACCAAACAATAAAAACTGAGCCAGAATAGGAATATAGTGCATGCAGATCAAACACTAATAAAATACTGAGTTTTATAAATCTAATTGATTGATTTTAAACAATAAAACAATCAAATATATAAATTTAATTTTTGATAATATTGATTATGTTGTATTATGTTGTATTAAATCATAAAATTGATAACATCATCAATCCAAAGAAGATAATGGAAATCATAATTTATGAGGAAGTCTCATCATCACATGAAATTCCAGAACAATTTTCAGAATTGTAAGTCTATACTTCTGTATCAGTGGGACATGAAGCATCAGTAGATTCTTTAATGCATGTAGACGATGTAGATCCAACAGCTGAAGCATCTTAAACATCAGTAAGGATTCTTCTACTAGATGATTATGTGAGAACAGCATCTGAAGCAATAGTAACATTATTAGCTATGAATTTGAATTTGATTTCGTAAATGGTTCCATCAGCTGTTTTATTATGCAATTTAGGTTTCACTTGTTTAGTTACTCCATTAGCTGTAACAGTTATTTAAGAATCTCCAGGATGCCATTTTCCATCATTGAATCCATTTTCTGTTATACTTTATTTAAAGTAAATAGTTTCATCTACTACTAATTCTGGATTAGTGACAATGTTTTAACAAGTTGAATCACTTCCACAACATTCTAATTTTGAAATAGCTTATTAGACACATTTTGTTTAAGCAGCATCAGCACATACTGGTTATCCTCTAAGTTTTGGTTAGAATACAAAATTATTTAATGTTGATAAGTCAGTTGTCATATTGCCAACAAAATTGAAAGCAAATGAAGCAATTTATTTAGTGTATTAAGTTGTTATGGCATCTACATTTATTGCATAAAATCCTTAATAGACAACGAAATCAGTCTAAGTATCCTTAGCCAAATAGGTGTCAAAGTTACTATTTAATAATAATCATATATAGAATACCTCTTTTCAATCAAGAAAAACCATGATCTTGAGTTATCAGTATTTAGTACTGATGTCAAAGAAGATGAGTCTATGGTTTCATTTATAAACCCAACTTTAAATCTAACAAGACTTATTGATAAACAACTATTTGCAACTTCTAGAGCTGTTTCTAATCCAGTTGAATTTTAAAATTTTAAAGATACTTTTAGATTACCATTTTCTAATGTTAATCCAAATTCTGGTTTATTTGGTAGTTAATCTGCACCAGAGTTTTATTTTTTCTATTTAAAATAGTTAAGTTTCGATGCACAAGTTCCTGCTTCAATGCATTCTCCATGTACAGCTATTTAGGTCTCAGTACAATTCAAAGGGTTAGATTTTTAACCTGATGTTTATCCTTATGGGTTTTCTGCAGAAGAAACTGCTTGAGCAATTACAGAAATTGCTAAACTAAGTAAGAACAGTATTTAATTTGATTTCATTAAATAAATTTTATAAGAATAAATCAAATTTATATAACATAAATATAGAACATTCTATGTAAAGCCAAGGCATTCTAGATAATACTATAATATTAATTTTTTATAATAATTCTCTTGAAAAGCCTTTCTAAAAATGTATTATTCTTATCTGGCTTTTCTTATGCTGATGGCTACTAAGGCTAATTTGGAATCTAAATATTATATTAACTTACTGACTAAGTAAGAGCCGTTTATGCTAATTAACCAGGTCAAACTGGTGGAAAAGTTTTTTTGTAGAAAGTATAAGTAGAAACAGTTTGAGTTAATATGGATGGTAAAACTGTGGTAGTGGTTGAAGGAATTTAGGCTTAGGGTATTTTTGTTTAAGGTTACTCAATGTTTTAGTTTAAGGAATCAGACTGCTTTTTAAGGGTAAAGGTTAGTGGTTTAAATTGTTTAAGGGACTACGCTAGTTGTTTTAAAAAGGTTAAGAAACTGATCTATTTAAGTAGTTGTAATGATAGACTTTTATTGAAAATATGTAAATGTTTATCAATTTTATGGTACAATAGTATTCTATACTACAGGCGGTGATTAAATTGTATTTGTTGTAATTTATGGTAATTAAATATCTGTGTTTACTATTAGTTATTGAATTAATGTTGTTTAGACAATGTTGTTGTCTAAACTTTAGGAGCTTAATACTTTGTAGTAGTAACTTATGGCTACTATTTTATTGTCAAATATTATTATGGTTATTATGTCTAATTGATAATTTTACAACTCTTGCCACTACCACTTATTATTATTATTACATTCTCTATGTTTCAATTACTACTTATGTTTATTACTTTAATGTTGTATTGTTCGTTAAGCCTTAATTTATACAGTTGTAGAATTTATTTGAATATTAATTTTTGCTCTTTATTTAAATTGGTTGACAATTAAATTGATCGATCTTTTTGAATTGTATTCATACAGATAATTTATGTTATTTTTATACTGTGTAATATTCTGTTTTCTCTTATATTCTTTCTACTGGCACATATTATAATGAATAAATTCATACCAATTTATTTCTCTTAAATAACTTAAGGAATATATTAACAATAAATTATGCTTTATTCTAAGGTAAAACTTATGTTGGCACTCCTTACAAAGGATTCCTCAAGTTTTGGTTCTATACTTTAAATTTTTTCCTTAATTGAGACAATGTGTATTATAAATCAATAAAATTAAGTCAGTAATACTGTGAACTCTGAAAATTTGATTCAAAAATAGCCAAAAGTTTAAAGCATAAAGAAATCTCTTAATTCATCTCTTTTGAAAAATTATTTCTCTTACGACGATTTAGAAAATTTTTTAATAAGTTGACTCTTAAGAAAGAAATTAGATCTAAAAACAATTATAGACTACTTCCGGAATGAATTGATCTTTATAAGAATTATATCTTTAGAGATGATTAGCAAAAATTTGATATAATCAAAAGAATAAATCAAAGTTTAAAGATTTTGCATAAATAAGCCTTTCACAATTATATGAATTATTTAGCATATTTATGAAAAAGAAGGATGTATCAAATGAAATAATTGATTGGAAAGAAAAGTAAAATCATTGTTTAAAATAAATAAACTTTCTATAAAAGTATTAATCTACCTCATTTTGGTTGTTTTTAAGATAATGAAGTTAAAGCCTTTGTAAATGGGGCTGTTTGGATGTTATTATATCCTGAGAGAGAATATAAAGGCTATTTAGATAAAAAATAATATAAAATACTTCTCAACCCTCTGTAAATTATTTCTTTCAACTTGATATACTAACTTAAACTTAAGATTAATTTGTTCACTTTTGGTATAGAAAATATAAGTTATTGTAACAATTTAATTATGAAAATTAAGTTTGATAATAAATGATATTTTTTTAGGGCGAAATGGAAAAAAGCCTTTGTAACCTTAAAAATATTTGAATAGTTTATCAAATGAGATTTAGATGAAAGAGTATAATAATATATATATTTTAATTTATTTAAATTTCAAATGAATAATAATCAAAATTATAAATTACCTAATTTGTATTCAATTTCAGTCTTTATTGTTGCTAATGTTTATATTCATATTTTTTAATAAAAATCTCTATTCATTCCAATTAAATGTAATAATATTTGTAAAATATCGAATCTTTATTATATGCTCAATTACTAATTAGATTGTAGGATTCCACTAACTTGTATTCATTAATAGGAAAGTATTAATAAATATAAAATAGTAAAAAAGAATGTTTCTCAAGTGAATTTTTTAATGAAAATCAAATTTAATAAAAAGTAGTTCTTGATTAAATTATTGATTAAAATATGTAAATAGTCATAGCTACTTAAGGATTTTCGATAATGGTTGGAATGGATTGATTTCATATTGATTAGTTTAATTTATTAAAATTTTATAAATAAAGATATATTAAATACTTATTTAATTATAAAAATACTTTATAACTGAGATTATTTTGATTTTATAGGATAGTGATTATCTTAACGAGTCGAATTATGTAAATAATATTAAATGAAGTTATATCTTATTTTCTTAGCGCTGATTATATTAGTTATATGTATTTCAAGTTTGTTTGAGATGAAAAAAAATAAAGATAAAGTTTTGATTCTTGTTAAGAGGTGTAAGGTAATTATTTTTTATTTTAAAGAACTTTTTCGCGCTTTTAAGAGGTATATAATAAATGGCTCATATTTATGATAGTAAAATGTAGAATATTGACCCAGCAATGAAGAGGAGAAAATAAACTAGAGTGAGAAAGTAATTAGTAAACAAGACTTTACAAGAAGAAAGTGAAGAAAATCTGTTGATTGAAGTGCAATAGAAAGTAACAAAAAAATATCAAAATTATTTGCATACCATCCAAAAAATGGGAGATTTTGATTGGACAGATATTGAGAATACAAACAATATAAAGGTTATTTATCCAAGTAAGCAATGTCTTATTTTCAAGTTCAATTTTTGCAAGCTTCTACTTTATAATTTATGATTGCAGCGATGTATTTTAATTGTGATCAAGACTACCTTTAACATAACCTTGAAGAGGTATAAAAATTAATGAAGAAAACTGAATAAGCTTATGGAACTTCATAATAAGAGTATAATTATCGTTTAATTAAGTGATTGTAAAAAATAGAAAAATAAAAAAGGGTATGATGTGAATGATGATATATTCATTTTAGAGATGAGATAATTATAAATCTAAGATTTGGATGATATTATTGCCAACTAAGAGTACTATTATTTTTATATTTCTAGATTAAAATTAGAAAAAATTTAGAAGGAAAATGAAAATGCTATTGAAAAATTTTAAATAGAGGATATTCCATAACTTAAACCCCCAATTAAAACAGATTAATCTAACAATCTTTTAAGGGACATTTTCGGATTAACAGAGTTTGAAAAATAATACATAGAAAAAATAGAATTGAAAATATAAACAGATGGATAAAATGATGTTACTTAAGAAACAGGTAAGAAAACATAAGGAGGGGGAATTCATTTATAACCAATTTTAGATGATGCTCTTTGTTAAGTTTGTAATGATGGAGATTATACTGATGATAATTTAATAGTATTTTGTTCAAAATGCAATATATCAGTCCATTAAAAATGTTATTTAATTGAAGTAATACCAAGTGAAGATTGGATATGTGATGTATGTTAAACTTTTGGACCTAATGGATAATATTTACGTTGTGCTTTATGTCCGAAATTAGGAGGAGCTATGAAAGCAACATAAATAGATGCTTCTTGTTTGGAAAATCTAAATCAAACATATTTTGAATCATAAGGAGAAACAATGATGAAAAATGATTTTGTTTCTAAATTATGTAAATTTATAAATATCTTAAATAGTCTAATAAATAGATGATGATTAAGAATTATATTATGATTTCAGTAAAATACCAAATAGAGATATTAGAGATCTTGAAAATAATAAAGATATCAAAGAACCATAACCATAAAAAGTATGGATTCATTTATCTTGTTTTTATTGGTCACCTGAATGTTTTTTAGATGAAAAGTAAGATATATTAAAAGGTGTTGATAATATAAATTAAAAAAGATTTACTCTTAATTGTAGTTTGTGTAATATCAAAAAAGCTGGAATGTGTATTTAATGTGCTAGAGGTAATTGTTAAACAGGATTTCATGTAGAATGTGCTAGAAGATCAGGAATATTTCTTACATAAACAATTGTCAACACTAAACCAGATTATTAAATATTTTGCTAAAAACACGTACCACTTAAAGTTAAGAGAATTTTAGAATCAAAATAAAGATTATATGAAAGAGAAATAATTGATTTTTTTAGAGCTTATGAAAAATGCAAAACTGTACATAAAAAGTCTTAATAAAGACCTAAAAAAACAAAATCAACGAAGGAATCTCTATAAAAGTAAGAGATTTAGGAACATTAAGAGAGTGAATTTGATTTAATAGATTTTGCTTCAAAATTAAAGGAATTTATAGATTAAATTTTAGATTAAAAAATGATAGTAAATTTAAAATTAGAGGAAGGTAAATATGTTTTCGAATCTCTATCTGAACCATAATTAAAATAATAAAAATAATATTACTTAACAAAATTGCCAGAATTATATTAAACCAAAGTTGATTAAAATGGATTACTTATTACATAATTTTATAAAAGTACTATTACTGCAACTGATGAAATATGGAAATTCTTTAAATATAGAGATTATGAAAAAGATATCACTTATAAAATGTATGAAAAGTTGAGAAGAAGAGCAAGTAAATTCATGTAAGAATTAAATCCCCAGAAAAAACAAGCTAAATTGATTGATATGTTGATGTTGAAAAAATTTAAAAAAAACAAGAAATCTGATTATAAAAAAGAAATAATAATTGAATAAGTTGGGGATGAATATTTTTAAAGAGATGATAATTTATATTGTGTTTGTAGAGGAAAGTTTAAAGATGGCAATCCTATGATTTGCTGTGAATATTGTGATGAATGGTTTCATTTTGATTGTTTAGAAATAATAATCCCATATGAAGAAATAAGCAAAATGGATTTTTATTGTTTTTTATGTATAGATGATTTACCAAAAGATAAATAGGTTGAAATATACAAAAATTATGCGAATGTATTTAAAGATTCATCCTTTAAACTTTAAAGAGAATTAGCTCATAAATGTGCATTAAATGAATCTCGAAAAGCCAGAATAAATGAATTAAAACAGGCTAAGTTAATTTAAGAAAACAATAATTTAGAATAACATAATCCATGTTTAGAATTAAAATTAGAATAAATATAATTTGAAGAACAAATTAATGAATATATTTATGTTCCAAATAATTGTGTTTCTAAATAAAGTTAAAAAGAAATAAATTCAGCAGATAATAATTATAATTAAGTGGATATTTAAAATGATGGTTCAGAAAAAAATAAAAAAAGCGATGATCATGTTAAAACCCCAAGTAAAACAGAATCGGTTGAAGATCCTGATAATAAATTGGAAGTGCCAGAAACTCAAGAAAAATAAAATAGCAAACTTAAATAAAAAACTATACGTAACTATATACCTAAAAAGTGATTATAATATATTTCACATTTATTATTAAAAATAAAATTCTCTAATATTGAAAATTATCAAATAAATAAAAAATAAAATTATTAGAAAATTAGAATAAATTATTAACATATTTATTTTGATTAAATAATGTAATTAAGGAGGGTACAGTTACTATTACTTTATATTAATGTTTTTCAATGTAAAAGAAGCTCATTCTGTTTTAGAGCAAAAGATAAAACAAATAGAGGAATAATTTTTAACAAACCCATTCATCCTTAGATTAAGTCAAGAATCGTTTGAAGTAGAGAAGAAAATAAATTCTAAGTATTAAAATGTGTTTTTAATTATATAATGAAAAAGTGTATCTGATATAAGGGTTTGTTAGTGGTTGAAATGTGAAGTTCAAAAATTACTTCTTGACTTTTTATTATTCTTCATGTATTTTCAATAATTGAAGGTTGCATCTTATTTTTAATGTAGAAATGATTGACATACAGAAAAGAAAGGCATGATTAAAGTTTGAATAAAAGCAATAATAAAATGATGTATAAAATTTTAAATCCGTTTTTGCATTCGTTCTATTGTTTTTTTTGGAATTTAAAAGCAAGAATGAAGTTGGAATTAAACATAAATATATTTAATGAAAGTTGCTATCACATTATTGGTTGTCTTAGCCCTCGCTAACGCTGGTATGGTACAAAAATTCCCAATCACATATGGTGGAAAGAGAAGCATCATGAACATCATGGTTGAAGTTGAAAACAAGATCAAAGCTCACTCACCACTTGACACAATCAAGGGAGTTCTTGATAACTTCAAATCTGCAGTTGCTTAAGAATAAGGAACACACGATGAAGTCTATGGAGCTTAATAAGCCGAATGCGTAAGCGAAATTGCTTACAGAAGAGCTGAAGTTGAAGATGCTACTGGTACACTCAAAATTGCCAACGGTATCTTGAAGACCTCAAACATCTTATTAAGAAAGACTTAAGCCACCCTTGGTGAAGTTGAAAACATCTTGAACACAGTTTCATTACATGTTGGACTCATTAATGATGCCAGAAAGGAAGATACTTAATCATACAACAGAGGTGCCGTTACATTCAATGATGCCATCAATGCTATTGATGACTCTCTTGATTTGGCTGCTGCTTTAGCTAAAGGAGGTGCCAGTTTGATCTAAGTTGCTGAAATGACAAGCAGATTAATGAAAGCTTCAGTCTCCACCAAGATGAACAAGGCTTTCATGGCCCCATTAGCTGCCTTAGCTTAAATCACATAAGAAGAAGATTCAGTAAGTGCTGCTGAAAGACTTGCTTAATTATTATAAACCTTAAGAAGCAACGTTGAAGAAGCATGGGCATCATACACTGCTGAAAACACCAATGCTTTAGCTCTTTTCAGTTAATAAAAGGATTTATATCTTGCTTCATAAAGCAGACTTGATTCATCAAAGGGAAGATTAACCACCAAAGCTGAAAACTTATAAGGAGTTATCTCTGTCTAAACCGCTGTTGCTTAAGCTGCTACCAACAAGAAATAAAGAAACTAAACTTTATGGGATGATGCTGCTGATTTATGCCACAGCTTCGATGTTGAATATTAAGCCGTCACTTAAGGAAGAAGATAAGAATTAGTTTTGGTCTAAGAATTAGAAAGATTAGCTGAAAGAAGAGCTGCTGAATAATAATGAGATATAATCACATCCATCATTTTTATTCATTCTTTCCCATATCATGTTTCTTTCTCTTTTCCATAAATTAAACATCCTCTATTTATTCCTTATTCTTTCTTCTTATTAATATATCATTCTTATTTTTATAGATTTCATATATTTCAATTATTATATTCTATACTCTCTCTATTAATTAATTATATTTATTATTATTAATAAATCAATCGCTACCAAAGCATCTATGCATAGCAAATCCTCCACATGCAATTACCATTATTATGTAAATAGCTAACAAACCTACTAATACTAATATGATTGTCATTTTTTTGTTTCTCCACCACATTTGTCTTCTCAATGTTGTAGCATTTTCTTTCATACTTGTTGAAATACTAAGGCTAATCAAATTTTTACTTAACCATTACGTTGGTTTTCTCTACAAGAATATCTATTTTCTCTCCTCTTTCTAATAATTTATCTAGATTCTCCATCATTACTTCTTTGGTTTACTGTATGTTATCAGAAACCATTCTTAATTTATCTGCCTAGGGAGAATTATAATATTCAATTTTATTTTTTTGTTCCTTTAATAGAATGAAACATATTCTTACTATTGAAAACAAACTGTTTAACCCATATGATATAGCTGAATCTCTTTGTTATGGTTAAAACATTTAGAAAAATTTTAATTTCATATCCTCTAAACAAGCAAAAGCAATTCTCATTTTTAAACCTTTCTCTGCCATAATCAAAAATGAAAATCCATCCTCTACTAAAATATGAAACTCATATTATTCATAATTGAATGATTTTTTTGCATTTTATTAGTTTACCTTTTTTAATTATAATATTATCAATTTACTTTAGAAATAATTGTTTTAGCGAATGCGATATAGTTACCTTTAGCTATTGAATATTCTGATAAAACAACATTTGAACCTCTAACAACCACTGCATATATAATCTAGGGATTTGATGATTACATAATTTATTAAATTTTATATATATATTAATGGATCAATAATTAATCATACATTATTAAGAAATCGTCTATAGATATATAATAAATTATAAATATGTTAAGTCTTGTAATAAAATTAAAATAAATAATTTCATAGTATTTTCTCTCTATCCAAAAAGGATTTCCCTTTAATACAAATTTTTTAATAATCTGTTGATTTACCAATAAACAATCTTACCAAAAGAGTAATATTAATCAATCTCATAAGCATGCTACCTAATATAATAACCTTGTAGGATTTATAAGGATCAATCAACTTTGATATAATCAAAAGCACTGGAAAAGATATAAAAAATAAAATTCCAAAAATTTTAAGTGAAAAATAAAAGTTGGAAACAAGTTCTCCTTTCTTCTTTCGTTGATTTACTGAATAATAAAAATAAAAAGCTAGCAAAAGATAAATTATACTAATTGAATATCCAACCCAGCCTTCATACATATGGAATTATGCCTCTGTACTAAGAAATTTGCCTAAAACTGCGAAGAATGTTTATATAATCCCAAGAACAAAAATCAAAGTGAAATAAAAATTCGTTTAAATCTCAAAATTCATAAAATCAATTGTCCATCCCCAAGCAATTAATATTAATAATAGCATAAGCAAAAAGTTATCAATTGATTATATAATTTCTGAAATAATTAGAAATGCTCTAATTCCTCTTCCATTACTACTATAAATCAAAAGGTGAAAAAAATTAAGAATATTCTATATTGCCTCTAATCCAATAATGATTAAGACAAAAAATAAAGCATAGTCTTTTTCTCCATATTTTTCTTATTCCTTTTTATAGACTCGATAATTATAATAAAACCCTATGACAGTAAGTAAAGTCAAAACAGAAACAATACTAAATAATCCATGTTCTTCTAAAGAGATTTCTTATCCTCCATCATCATAAAACCAAACAACTATTTCTAATTAAATATTTAGATTATTTTTCTAAGGAAACATTTTTTCTAGTTTGTGATCACAATTATTGAAAATAGCTAACCAAACATTATGATATTTGCCATAAGCTAATTATCCATTCAAAATTGAAAACTCTTCTAAAGAATCAACCTCAATCGATTAATATGTAATTCTATTTGCAATCTCTCTTCTACTACACTCTGGTTTTTATTAAGCTTACTACCATTTATCTTATTAAAAAAATTCAATTGAAAATAATAATCTTTCACCTTCAAAGTCTTTTGGAACATTTATGACTCGTGCTCTACAAGTAAAATATCAAATTAATACTATATTTAAAAATTTACAACCCCACGACTACCAAATCTACTTAATGGAATGTAATCCATAGTGGCTAGTTATTTGAGTGAAAATTTCTATGTTATATATTTATTTTAGACTAAAGCTATGAATATGAATAAAATTCCAAACATTTAATAATTAAATGATTATTTTATTGCTGATTTAAACATGCTATAGTTCCATTCTAATTGACAAGTCAACCAACAATAATATTACTGATCTATACACTAAATGTTAATTAAAAGGAGAAAATTCAGACAATCTATTATTTTAATGTTCATAAATGAATGTCATAATTCCTATTTAAGAAATAACTTAAGATATTGTTTTTGCCTACTCCTTTAATAAAACAAAAGATGTTTAATTAAGCAATATGCTCTTAACTGAATTTTTAATAGATCAAGAAACTCAATCTTATTAAATAAAATTACATGTTTTATATAATTCATATTATGGTGATTTCTTCTAGATGATTTAATTTCTCTCTATAAATAAATATTCATTTTTTAATTACTAAGTAACTGTAATTGACGGAACTCTAAATATGATTGCTCTTCTAAGTAATTAACATTTCTAAATTTAGTGAGTCATGTTAATGAAAACTATATTACTTTGTATTTAATTCCAATATATGCAAGCAAAATGAATTCTTTTCCTTTGACAGCCTATAACTTTACATGTGATACTATTTGTGAAATCAAAGGATTTTCACAATATTATAATAAATAAAGAAACAGTCTAGTTATTGTTATTGCAGAAGAAAATCTATTAAATATATTGTAGTTTTCTTTTTTTGATGAACAGCTTAGATTTGTATCAAAATATTATATTACTGAATTTATAGATAACTAAATAATTCTTAAAACACAATTATTTGAAGATTATTTACTGGTTGAATTAAAAAATTCTTAAGCCTTATTTTCTATCTCTTCAATTGTTTTTGAAATTCAGCTCCTTAAAATTTTCTCTAAATCACCTTTATTCATTGATCATAAAACAAAACTAATATTTTAACAATCTTTGGATTAAACTATAGTTTATGCTATCCAAAATTAACAAAATTGGTTTACTTAAAAACAAGTTATCCAATAATAAATCTTAGATATTTTATTTACAGGTTCTATAATCGTTGAAAATGAAAGTGAATGGTAGTTTATTTTTATTTATGATAATTTTCAAAGAAAAAAAATAAAAATATAAATTAAATAGAATATCAACTAAGAAAGTGAATGCTTAAACAATTTTACTTAATTTCCATATCCTAATAAATAAACCTTAAATTATTAATTATAATTTTTGCAAGAGAAAATTGAAGAAAATAATAATAAAACTGAACCTCTTTAAGAATTATAAAATCATACTTCTTGCCAGAAACCTTGCGATCTTTTGTATTTTAATTATGAGATTTCTTTAGTTCCATATGATTAATAATGCATTATTTCTAAATTACAGAACTAATTTACTAATCATTGCAGTCTCTTAAATAGCTGCATTAATTGTAATAAACAAACTGGATGCAATTGGGAAAATAATACTTGCATGAAAGAAACTTAAATGTATTAAATTGATATATCATCACATGAGTAAAGTTCAAAATGGTATAATGGGAAGATTTGGAAATGTCAGGAAATATAATAAAAAACAACTAATTCAAATTTTTGTAACTATGATTAAAATCAATTTGAATAGCTAAAAGAGTTCACTTATAAGGGAGAGATAAGAAAAGGCTAAATTTGCTCTTGGTTTTTTGATGCAGGTAAATTTTAATAGTTTAATTTTTATTTCAAGGCAGATCTAATAAATAACCCAACTAATAGTTAAATATCAATTTGTTTAGGTTTAAATTAAAATGATATTTGCACACATGTGAATTTTAAACCAGGGAATCTAAATTCGACAACAATATATCCATTCAAAGGATATTATTTTAGATATATGATAATATTTATGGAAGATAATTTAGCTAGTGAAATTAAATTTTCCTTTTAGAATTCTCCTCCAATATCAATAACTGATCGAGTGAAATAATCATTATTATAAATGTTGGCTTGGCTCATTTGTGGAATTTTATTATTTTGTATAATGGGGTACATGGCTAAGAGAAGACTATAATATTTAGTAGCATAAACAACAGACAATGAGTTAATTTAAGTAATAACATATTAATATAATTTTAGATACCACATTTTATATAGAATTAAGTTCCTTTATCAAATGAGGGATTGAAAAATGTAATGTAAAATTTAATAGATCAAGAGATTATAACTAAATATCCATCTGATCCTTCTTTATTATTATATGGAGAAGATAGTTGTGCTTTTTGTTTTGATTAATTTGATACATCAGAATTGGTTGCTTAATTATTTTGTGGGCATGTTTACCATTATGATTGTTTCGAAGATTGGATTAGAATTAAAGGATTATTAAATAAATGTCCAGTTTGTAATTAGAAAGTAGATTATTTTCTAGCGAATAAAGAAGAGTTTGCAATTATAAAATTATAGATAATGGACAGAATAAGTGAATCGGAGAGTCATACAACTCATTTAATTGAATGAGACTATTAATATTAATTAATTTAATTATCATGTAACGAAGTAACAATAACCCCATCTTTTTATCTCCAGATCAATTTGCTACTCTATTTAATTAGGGAATTCGAGAATCATTATATTTAGATGAAATGTAGGATCAAAGAGAACTCAGTTTCTCAGTTCCTAAAGTAGATGATATGAATTAATCAAACCAACTCAATTAGTCTAGTAATTTTTTACCTGAATTCCCTAAAGAAGATGTTGTTATCAGTATTATTAATATATTATTTGATTAGTATCCAGACAATTATATGAACAATCTCAATGCATTGAACAACATAATAAACAGTTAAGCGAATCATACTAAAGAATATTAAAATAAAATAAAGAATTATTGAATAAAAGAAAAGAATTAGAAGAAGAAAACTCATAACTTCTAGAAGAAAACTTTGAACTCAAAAGATAAGCTCATGAACTTCAATCTAAATTAACATTTGCTCAAAGTCAGATGTTAATTAGAAGAGATTAAGAAATTTAAACATTGAAATAATAAATTAAAGAATTGTAGAACTAATCCAATTCTAGAGATTCAGCCACAAAAACTGAGGCAAGTACAGCAACTTCTCATAAATCTTATTTTGGGTCAAATACTCATCGGGTACAATCAAATGAACAATCAAAAAATACATCTAGGTTTACTTCTCCTGTTCCTAAATAATAAACTTCTGAATTCTAAGTCTTATATCATTCGAATAATGTCTTCGGAAAATAACCCTAATATTGAATTACATCTAAATGTATATATTATCTGTTTGAAAATTAAAAACATCTATTCATTTTATTATTATTTTATGATTACCTTATTGATATCTCATAGTGAAAATACATATTATAAATAAATAACTTTAGTTAATATATTATAATTACTTAAAACAATGTAAACAGTTAAACTTATATCTCAAATTTACTGAAATAATTATAGTTTCTTAAAATATTTTTAATAAAACAATTTATTGCTGAATTAAAATAAAATTTAATAATAAGGTAGAGTTAAAATAAAAATTAATTTAAAAATGAGTTTTGTATTTTGCTATCTAATTTTTTTTCTCTAGAAAGACATTCTTTATATAAATTAATGATGAGTCAAAATCTTCAAAATTAGTGGATATAGGATTTTGCAAAATTTTGTCAAAAAAACAAAATCGAGTCTTAGATGCTTTTTTTAATAGAAATTTTATTTTATTCTGAACTAGAAAAGATTTTTAGTTATGCTACAGAAATTTATAAGCAATCAAATAAGAAATATATTGATAATTCGTAAATGAAGTAATAAGAAATGAAATAAAAAAAGAATGAACGATATTAATGACAATTTGCATTTTTCAATTTTATTATAAAATTTTAAAAAGAGTTAAAACTAAAATATCTTTACTTGAAGAGTTTCAAATAAAAAGTAACAAATAAAAAATTATGAATATTACCCTTGATTTGATTAGTTATAATTTGTATTTTGAGAACAGTGACATAGAATATAAATATTATAAATAATGACAGAATCAAATAAAAATTATAGGATAATCATTTAACAAAAATTGAATAAGAAATTGAGGCTGTAATAATGTAATTAAAATATATGAATGACGATTTTTTAAATTAAACTGGAGAGGACTTTAAAGAGGGTCCTATATAAAAATGATTATTTAATAAGTAGTTCAATTTCAGTTTTTTTTAGTGCTTAAGTTGTTATTTAATATTTATAATAATTTCTTAAGTAATTCAAGAAGTGTTTAAAAATATAAGTGTTGCTGTCAAATAATAAACAATTAATTCTGAAATTAAGATTAATTTCCCTAAAATTCATCTTTAAGAATATGAATTGTATGCAAAATCGAAATTTTAAATGAAAAATATCTAGTTTAGCACCCTTGTTCATTAAATTTAATTAATAAAGAGTAAGGTAAATAACAAATAACACTTGTATTATAAAAATTTTGGTGAGGATAATATAAAATAATTTCCTCAAATTAAAAGAGTTTATAAAGGAATTTTGTAATTGATTGATCTAAAATTTAATATTTTGAATACACATTTAATCACATACATCATAAGCATTTGGTTTGGATTAAATCTTTGTATTTTTTTGTTCCAGGCAAATTTTCGTCCATGATTAATCTGAAAAGATTATCATCTTTTAATTTAATTCCTTAATCTAGTTTATCCTTATATGCTGCATTTATTTCTTCTAAAATTTTGGGTGTTATAATATAATCGAGAGGTCTTTTATCTTTTTACATTTTAGATAAGATTTTTAAAATAATTTTTTTAAATCTTAAATATTTACTTCTTAGATATGCATTTTGAATATCAATCATATCTTAAGTCATTTTTGTATGTTATTATTCTCTTGCAGGTGTAGTCTTTAATGTTTATGGATTATAATTGATTTCCATAATATGAATTTTTAAATCATCTGTCAAAATAAAATCAGCAGCAAAGAACTCTGCTAATCTACTATCTCTTGTTATTTATCCTTCAACAGACTTTATAGCATGTATAATCATTCTGTCAACTGTAGGATAAAGATAATTTTAAAGCCATTTACGATCCTTAATCTTTCCCTATTTTAACAATAAATCTTATAAATAATCTAATTTCCAATCTATAAATAATTCAGATTCATCAGCATTTTCATCATCCAAGTCTAGATCAGATCCTCTCTATTTAAGAGTGCTTTTTACTATGGCTGTATTACATACATGAGCTTCTTTATTTAAAGAGAATTTATCAAATGGAGCTATACATCTTCTTATTAAAGTTTTATCATAAGCATAAGCAATAATTGGATAAGTGGAAGCCAAAACCCAATATATTCTAAATTCAATCTTATGATTATTATATAACATTGGATTTCCTATATATTATTGTGCAACCAATAGAGAATGATCTTATCCACATCTCTTACCATATTTATAAGTTTCTTATAATTTTTTTGTTTCTTCGGGAAACAAGACTTTTATCCCTCTACCTCTATGAACTTCTAAACCCACTTTTGTTATAAATTAGGGTCCATCTTAAGCTATTTTATTCTAATATTCATTAGAATTCAAATAATCGAAAAATTCTTTACAATCTTGCTTCTAAAATAAACGATAGGTTTTGGGAATGAAGGTTGCATTATTTATACACTCTTAATCAATTCCTTTATCTCTTAAAGAATCTATGTATTTATATTAATTATTCATAAGGTTGTCTTTATGAGAAAGAACGTGTCGTGATGGTAAATGGTTGTATTTTTAGAACAAGCAAAGAGATGCTAAATGCTTATTAAGTACTCAATACCTTATCCTACTTTGAATTTATGTATTAACTAATCATAATATGTGAATGGTAAAGTTAATTGTTCTGGTAACACATGCTTTGACAAAGCTAGCAATATTTTATAATTTGTGATTACTTTAAGTATTTCTTAATTTATGGTACATTTAAGGAATACAATCAAAATAAGACGATCTCAATGCTTCTTTGATTACTCCTTTAGCTTCTCGAAAAGTATATGTATCTGTCATTATTACATCAGGGTGATAAAATTTGTATAAATCTGACCTTTTACAATAATCGAATTCTGGTTTCACTAGAATTGAATTATACTAACATCTTAATCATAAATTTATACTGCTGTATGATTAGTTGGAGGAGCATAATAATTTGTTGTTAAGTATTTGTTCAAGTATGTTAATATTTGATCAACTTCTTATTTATTTTTATAAACAAGGGAAATCCTAATAAAATTATAAATGAGAAGAAGACTCAATATTGACATGATTAAGACAATCACTTTACCAAACATTTTATTATAATTATATTCGTTTTTAATCAATATAATTTATTTTTCACAAATATTTTTAATATTCCGTTTTTGTTACATATTTGTAGACTTAATTATCAATGCAATATTCTTTGAGATCAATTAAATTATCTTAAAATGGCTACTAATTTTTATCAATACTTTTTTTGTTTTTTTATATTCTCAATAAATAAATATTTGAAGTAATTAATTTAATGTAAAAAGATAGTATTAAAATATTTATCAATAAAAAGATGAAACACTAATTATGAGTATTTTATAAATAAAATTTATTTTTAGATCTTTTTAAAAATATCTATGATTCAAAATGGAATTCAAATATATTCAATGAACTTTAGATACTTTATAATTGTATCTTTTCACATATGTTTAATATACAATTTTATACGTAAAATAAACTTTTAAAGATTAAAAGATAATTAAACTAAAATTATTGAAATATTAGATTTAAAACTCTTAATAAAAATTAATTATTGACTTTTTGAGATAATTAAATTCAGTGATATAAAAATAAATAATTAGTTTTAACAAATAAGTCTCTTTGTGTCTTATCTTGTGTGGCACAAACCTGTAACAATTTCTCCTCAATATCATGGATGTTGATTAAATCTATAAGTTATACAATTTCTTATGAGAAATGGGAGATTGTTTAAGAATTTAACTTTTTTTATTGTTTTGAACATATAAATTTTGGTTAAGGATATGGTTTTTATTTAGGTATTTCACTCATTGATGGTCTAATTATCACCGTTCTTTGCTATACTTTTTCTAGTTAATTGGTTTTTTTGGCTTACTCACTTCTTTCTCTGTTAAATAAGGCTTCTTCAATTTTAAGTTATTCTAATAATCCTCTTCTTCTAATTTCAACAATATTTTATGATTTTTTGGAACAAGCTTTTTCAAGACTCTCCTCTAGTCTTTTAAGTCTCAATAAATCCAATTACTTTTTATCCTCCAAACCTTTTTAATATCTAGCTAAAGTTTCATCTACTCGAGTACTTCTAGGGATTAAGTATTAAGCTTATTTAAAGAGTTCCCATTTTTATAATTTAGCATCATAGCTCATTCTTCGTTTAACATGCTTATCTGTTATTATTTTTTATAAAATATCTCTATTTCTTTATACTTATTCTATTCTAGAATTTTCTAAAACCTCTTTTTAATATGCACGTAATTCTCTTTCACTACTTATTTGTTATCTTCGTGTTTCAATTAATTACTCTTTTTATGAATATTATATTAATTATTATTCCCGATATTCTTGTTAAAACTTTTTCATTTTCATTAATTTATCATTTATCCTTGAGGTAGAGGTTTCCTCGTATTTTTCTTCAGGTGGCAATGATTTTGGATGATTCTAGGTTTCTTCTGATTTTTTATTTAGTAAATCATGATATTCCATTAGTAATCTTTACCTTCTTTTTTCATATTATTTCATAATGACTTCTTAATAGAATTGAGAGTCATTCTCATATTCAGGTGGAATTTTAATTTTTTTCAAAGGTAATAGATCTTACTCTGTGATTCCCATTTTTTTTAATATTTGTTAATTCATTAATAATAATGTAACATACGATTAACAATTTCATTTTTTGCATATTTCGTAATGTGCTTTTATTCTTCAGCCCATTCCATTGTCTTTAAAAATCTATTTTCCCAAGTCAATTCATAATTTGTCAATACTTGTACTTTATCAACCAAAGAAATCTCAATAATTGAAGGTCCAATAGAGAGTGGTTCACCATCAATTTGGACATAAGAATTTGAAGGATAAGTGATTGAAATTTTTCTACCTTATCCAAGTTTATAAGGTTTATCTAAACCAACTTAAATTCTACCCAAATGCAATATACTAGTAACTCCAATTATTTCTAATAGACCATCATTAATTTTTTATTATTTAAAATCTGCATCTTATTCCCATAATCCAGTAACTCCTCCACTCCAAGAATTAATATTTAAAATAATCACATTTTCAACTTAATCAGGTATATCTACAATCACATCATCACAAGTAACTTTTATTCTTTTTCCTAAACCACTTTTCTCATTTTTAATTAAATCATTCAAACCCATATGAGTATAAATTAATTTATTGCCTAATCTACTTTTAAATAATTAAGGTGATGTCTATCTTAAATTATGAAAATCATAACAAAATTTAGCATCTAATCCTATACCAAAATAATTAAATAGTTTATAATTTTTATTCCCTATTTTTACATTCCATCTATCTAATAATGTAATATTCTCATTATTCATTACTTTTGACAAAACATGAGATGCATCTAGCTATTCGTATGTTCCACCCTTATATAATAATATAATTAAATTCTTACCCATCCCAATGCTCTACTTAAATCGTTACCTGTTCCTAATGGTAGAATGGCTATAGGAGGATTCCAATCAAATTCTTTTATATAATTTATTACACTAGCTACTGTTCCATCTCCTCCTGCTGTTATCAATCTTGCTGTTTTTATATGTGCAAAATTCTTTAATTTATCCATCTCCTATATATTTAATACCTATATAGGATTCAAAAATCTTATAATATATTTAATATACCTAAGAAATGATTTATAGAAATCTACTCCAACTTATCCTCCAGATTTCTAGTTGATTACTACAATTATTGGCTTAACGTAATTCCCATTTGGTAAAATAATAGCATCTTTAAATTCTCCAAAATCGCATTATTAATTTACTTTATCTTTACATTCTTCATGAACAACTTTTTAACACCAAAGACAACTTTTTCCTTCCAAATCAAAAAAATATCCACAAGTTAATCCACAATGACAACATATTGAATTCACAGGAAGATTCCCACTTAACCATTAATGAGTAAGTTCTTTATCTAATTATTTTATTATTTTGCATTGTATTTGATTTTTTCTACATTTTTTATGAACATATATTCCACATATTAAACATTCATGATATTATGCTCCCCATAAACTAAACAGTAGCTTTTTGCAAACATTACAAAATAATAATCCACTACTTTTAGATTCAATATAAGCATGCTCTAAGGATTCGTTTTCTTTTCCTTCTGATTTCTCTTTTGTTATCTTCTTTTTAATCTTTTATTTTATTGGCTAAGTATTAAAGAAAAAAGCGATAGCAAAAATTACAATCAAGCTAATGATTATATATATCATTTAATAAATATTAATTCATAATGTTAATTTTAACTAATCAATTTATTCAATCGAATTTTTATAAATATCATATAATGCATAAAGAATAGACATATTAAAAACAATTATTTAAATGGGAAAAAAGACTTTGTTGATTCTCACTTTTATTAGTTATGCTTAAATGCATGCAGCCAGTACTTTGTGGTCATATATGCAAAAATATTTGACTATTGAAAATTACGACAAAAATAAAATGGGTTAAGCATATTTGACCTTCTTATTAACATATGGTATAGGTATGAATACTATTGGTCCAATGTGTTGTAAAAATAGTTTAAAACACTCAATTGGTATTAGCTGTATGGCAGTAGGCATGTTATTTGCAATTCTTGGAATATTGCAAGAGTTTCAACTCTTAACTTTGTAAATTGAAAATTTTAATGAATAGTCCTCTGGTCATAGTATTGATGGCTGTTAATGGTTTAATTATATCTGCTTGTTATCCTGCTTGTGTAAATGTATTGGGAAATTGGTTTAAAAATCATAAAGTAGGGTTGATTTTGGGATTATGGTCAGGATGTGTAAATGCAGGCGATATTTATGGATTAATAATTGGTGATATTGTTATCTAAAGATTTGAAATACCTGTTTATTAGAAGTTAAATTTAAGGAATCAATGAATCGGAATCTACTCCTCTAATATTAAAATAGAAGAATAAAAATTTAAATATTCTATCAGCTTGGTTAGTTCCAGGAGTTGCTATTTATGCAGTTGGTTATGCATGCCTAAAAGGACCTTTCATGGATTTTTAGATTGGCTACCATTTTATTTTTAGTAAAAGGGAGAGAGACTTGAAAACCATTCTTCTTACATTTCTTAAATGTTTGATGTTGGTTGTTATATTGGAGGAATATTTTTAGGATATTTAGGAGATAAATATAAAAGACGTGCTTGTTATTTTGTGCCAAGTTTATTATTGGCTATGAGTTCTATGTTAGTAATAAGATTTTGTTTGGATTTAATTGTCTGGCCTTATTATCTTTTTATTTTAGCTATTGGTATCTTTTAAGGAGGACCATATAATAATATTTCAGGTGTCATTTCGATCGAACTAACTAAATAGTTTGAAAATGATAAAACAGCTATATCAACTTTATCATCTTTAATTGAAAGTACGGGAACTCTTACAGCTGCTATGTTTTAGGTAATCATTCCAAGAATTGGTGATGAACATTTATTTACATTCTTATGTCTTATAACATTATTAGCAGAATTAGTTTGTTGTGTTCTTTTATTTAAAGAACTTAAAACTAAAAAAAGATCTAAATGATATTATGGTGTATTATAATTTAAATTTATACAATATCATTATTCCTATTATGCTGCAAGGGCTGCTTCTTTTGCTCTCTCTTCTTCTTCTTAAAGTCTCTTTTACTCTACCTCTCTGTCATATTTGTCTTTTGCAAATGAAAATGCTTTTTCTTTTAGCTACTTTGTCACAAAGATATTATTTATTTTCTCTAATCTAACCATTTAATTAATTGTATCCAATAGATAATTTGGACTTTTTGATTCAAAAGGGTTACCTTTGTATAGAAGCCTTTTTAAATTCGGTAAAGTTTGCAATTTGCTTATTTCATCAAATTTATCTATTTTGTTTTCTCTAATATCAAAATGAACAATGTTTTCCAAAACTGGGAATGTTTCATCAAATCCTTCAATCTATATTAGTCATATATTAATACCAAGTTTTTTCTTAATTATAAAATTTGAATAGAAGTCAATAATTCAACGCCTTGAATAGCCTTGATTTTATTTTCGCTTAATTTAAGTTCTTTCAACTCAGGTAAATTTTAAAATTAAGTTAAGGCAGCAATTTTATTTCTCTTCAAGAAAAATTACCTTAATTTAGGATTACCATCAAAGGTATCCATTTTTTCAATCTTATTATCATTAAGATTAAGTTATATTAATGGAACTTTGATAGGACCTAATTCAACTAGTTTATTTGAAGCAGCATTAAGATATTTAAGAGATTTGAATGCTTCTTCATTAGCAAGTGATTTCAAATCCTTAATATTGTTACCTTCAACATTTAATCTAATCAAGAACGGCAGTTATGAAACTAGATAGTAAAAAGAATACGTTGCACAATTTCAGTAATATTATTGCCACTTAGATCTATTGATTCAATATATTTATAATTTCCAAAGGTTTGAGTCAAAACATCTACATTTTTTTGATTTAAATTCAAGATAGTGAAATGATATCCACTATTATCTTAAACCATTTTAAATCCTGATAGATTATTCATAATGAGTTCTTCAAAATTGATTTTAGATTTAGATTCTTCCTGTTGTTTTGGTTGTTTCTTAGCTTCTTTCTTAGACATATAAAATAAATATTAATATATATTATTATGTTTAATAAATCAAAACAATCTCTATTTAGCTTCATCTCCATCTCCTACTAATCCTTTTTATTATGCAAATTGATAATGTAAATCAACTACATCAAGTCCATCATGTACTTTAGTCCATCCATTTTAATGAATATGATAAACTTAAATAAATATTAATAATTCTTACCTCTAACTACACCACCAGAAGCAGTATCTCTATGTGTTGCATGATAGATTGCTCTAATGCCTAATTCTACTGCTTCATTAACAGACATATCATATTTATAATGATTATCCAAAACACCATAAGCATAAGTACTACCACTTCCAACAGAGAATATATCTCCTTTCAATCTCATACCATCATTATCTATATAATATAAATGTTGCCCAGATAGATCAGTTCCTGCTATCATACAACCCATAGATAAACCAGAATTTTTATAACCTATTAAAATTCCCTAAAGGAATTTAGAAGCTGCTGCAACACTTAATTTACTACCATTTTTTAATTCATATGTTCTACAATGATTAGCTAAATATGCTAACCAATATTAACAATCTGCTGCACCTCCTGCCATTGTACCTATATTATTTCAAAAATATTTATACCTAATAAATATTCATTTATTTCAATCACCTTTCGCACTTATTCACTACTCAAAAAACTACCCATACTAGCTCTTGAATCTACTGCTATTAAGATGCCTTCTTTAAATACAAATCCCAATGTTGTTGTTCCGTGTTTGAAATTATTTAATTTATTTCCTCCATTTGTTTAGGTAGGACCATTTAAACTTTTGTATATTACTTAAGGTGCACTAGGCATTCTTAAAGTATTAATTTCATCTTTGTCTTCTTTTTAATAGGTGTGAGCTAAACCAAATGTTGAAGGATCGAAATCAATCATTTTAATATTTTAATTAAATAATCATCCTTATCTCAAGAAATATTATTAAATACTCTTTAACGCTCTGAGTTACAAATTGTGTTAAATTGAGAATTAAATTATACATATATTTTAAATATATATACTATATATTATGAAAAACAATCATCATCGAAGAACAAAATCAACTGGCAACTACTTTTCGAATTAATGTGAATTTCTTGTTTAAGATGATGATGATGATAACAATGAAACAAGAGCAATTATTAAAAAAATATAACAATAACCTATTCTACATCATTAGATAGTTGAAAAACTAGATGATTAAAATTATGGATTGTTCAATACTATGTTTAATTTTGGGCAAATGAAGTATAAACCAAAACATTCTTTAGACTTAAGCACAATTACAGAGTGCAGTTGTAACGAATTCATAATATTCATAGCTACACCTTCAGCTAAAGATGCTTAACCTAAACACAGAAAATGTGGCAGTCAATAATAATAGGTGAACAAATAGCCAGCACGTCATCATCATAGTCAAAGTCTACAAATTCATAGACTCGAATACGAATTGGAGTAAATGAAGGCATAATAAGCTGAAATCTAAAGTGTGAACATGATGCTAATTATTGAAATTCACAAATCAAGATAAGAGCTCTAGATATCTTAATAAGTATATTCTCATTTTCATTTTAGAAAAATGAACTTATCCTTTAACGAATAAGAAAACTAGAAAAGATGTTAAGAGAAGATAAAAAATTATCCTGTATAACTAACGACACTCTTGAATTTTCCTGAGAAAAATACTCATTTTTGTTAAACATTTATATAAAAATCATATTCTTGAATCATTATGACTAACATATATGAACTTTATTTAGTTTATTTTGATTACGTATTATAGGAAGAAAAACTGTGAATTAAAAGACAATTATATAATATTTTCTATCATAATGACATATCTACAAAATTTCATTAGGATTGGTATTAATAGGTACATTCATAATAAGATTTCTCTTTTTATTTTGAGTAATCATTTTAACCAGATGGTATATTTGGAGTTTTAGAACTTTCTGTTACTCCAAAAATACTCAAAGCTTCTGATTGAAGTATACCATGGAAATCACTTATTTAAACATTATTAATCTCATTCTTAATCTCTATAATTTCCTAAATTTAATTTTCAATAGCATACATTAAATTCATAATTTCTATTAAATATTTTATCCCATAAAAATTCATCATTATTTTAATAATGTAATATCAATCGATCCTTCAAGTTATCTAAATCATACCTCTGTTATTCAATCAAATGTTAAATTTATTCATTTAATTTTATAACACTATCAATACCTTAATTGTAGAATAATATTCCATCTACACAACCAATGCTTTTAAAACTCACTTATATTGCTTATTATGATTCAAAATGTAATTATAACAGTAATAATGCTGATAATGATAAATAATCTCTTTTTCCAACGGAAAAGTATTTTAGTACAGCATTTTGTTTTTATTTGGCTGGCAATTTAATAATGTGTATTAAATTTTTATCTATTTATAATGTTTTTGTAATTGTTTCTATATCATTAGGATGATATTCTTAAACTAATTATTTTGCATTTTAAATATCTATGTTTCCACTAATAAATGCTGTATACTTACTCTCTGAAAACATATCAGTTAAAAACTGTGAGAATTCATTAAATTTTAAATCTTAAAACTCTCTAATGATATCTGCTGGATCGTTTACAGGTCTCAACATAAGTTTTGGTAGCCAATATTAAATTAGATAAAATTGAGTTTTTTAGAAGTAATATTCTTAAAATTGATTTTTTAAATTATCTTTAATACTCTTAAATTTAGATTCATCTTTAATTTCTTTTATATTTGATAATAACTAATTTTTCACTGCTTCGAATGTTAAGCTCCATCCTGATAACATAAATGAGAGTCCTTTAAGACTACTTTCTACTTAAAAATTAAAACCAGCCGAAACTGCATCTAAATTTGATTCTTCTATGTACATTTAAGCAACTTTTAATATTGCTTTCGATTTTGCTATGCTATAACCATTAATTGGTTTATAAAATAAAATTCCAAAAAAAGCTCTGTTAGTCTAATTATCATATTACCACCACAACTCTTAAGATATCTATAATGGAGTTAAAATTGGTATTAGATAATTTTTTTAAGTTTAATCTAAATCTAATGGGACATATGGACTCAAAGGTTTATATCCAGGGTCTATTTCATTTGGAGAATCATTGTTAATTTAAGGTTCTGATAGAGTAATATTTAGAGGAATAATTTAATTAGTTGTATAAAAATTATAATTTGGTTATTCAATTGGAATGTATTGAGAGAGATTGGGCAATTTTAATTTTGAAATTAATTCCTCATCTAAATTTGAAACATTAGTATAATCTAATAATATGTTAGAATATTCGATTGAATCTACTTTTTTATTAACGAAATTAGAGTTTAAGAATTCTTCTTTATTTAAAGTTTTTAATTCTTAATAGATAAATTATCCTTATTAAATAATAATGACCCCTGATTAGATATTATCAATTATTGCATTGAGATCCTTTTTAGAAAATTCTTTATCTTCAACATATTTTTGATAGAGAATTTATAGATTGTAAAAGTCTTTATGACAATTCAATAATGTTTTTTCATTCTACCTTTTTAAAAATGATGCAAAATTATAGATTGCATTAGCTAATGTGATGCTATCTTAATCACATTCTTAAATATTAATTGCTAAGAATTCAAAATCTAGAATTTCAAATTAACATTAGAGAATATTTTGTAAAGAATTTTATGTTTTTTACAACAACAAATGCTTAAAAAATTCATCTTGTTTTGCTGTATAAATTAAGATGGTAGATGTTTGATTGGAATTGATTCTAATCTGATTGAATAGAATAGGTTCTAGATCCCAAGAATCAATAATGTATGTTCCAAATTCTTTTTCCAATAATTCAGTATCTGAAACTATCATATAAATTTCTTGATTTGAGAATGAAGATTCAATAGTCAATCTAATTGGATTAGAGATTAATTTTAAGTCAATATAATTTTATAAATCCTAAATCTACATAGGCTCGGTCATGATTTCATTATTTAATGAGATTGCATCTAAAACTCTATCAATTTTAGAAATGAGATCAAGATCTTCAGTTTAAATATTTTGATTGTTAATATTATCTAGATCATCTTGAGTGTATTCTCTGACAAGTGAATCTGCAAAGTTTCTAATACAAGTTTCCAATAATTCGTTTTTAAAGTGAATAATTATTGTACTCGTGTATGCTCTCTAAATCAATTATGCTTAAGAACACTATTGTTTTAATAGCAAATTCATAAATAATGTATTGTATTCATCATCATGATAACCATGATAGATAACAAATTACAAAGTAGCTATTTAGACCTATTTTTCTTAAACAATCAAAGTTAAACCATTTTTAAATTGCCAACCTTATAATTATCCTTCATTCCATGGTTCAGCTTCAAATATTAATTCTTCAAATTGTTCTTCTTCTGGTTCTGGAATTATATCATCAAATTAAGTAACATCTTCAGGACTAGTTAAAAATTGCATGATGTCTTAATCTTCTTTATCTAGAACTACAGTACTATCAATATCATCAATATTTTCAATTTCATTTACATTCAATTTATCTATCTAAGGTATGGAAGATTATTTATGATTTGCTAGAGCATACTTAAATACAAGGAAGACTAAAAAAATAAGAATAATAAGTTAGATAATGTAACAAAGAGTGGAAAGGATGCCACGTGTTTCAGGATCTTTAGGTTTTTTCATATGTTGCTGTACTAATCCTTAATTTTCTTCATCCATTTGCATTAATTAAATGTTTAATCCATTTCGATATATTGCTGATTTTCTACACTTGTTATCATTTCTGATACTTATTTTAAAAATCCGTAAAACAAGGAATTGCTTAGGTAGCTAATGAATAAATATAATAGGATTATCATACAGAACTTAAGAAATCTATCTTGCAGTGTTCTGTGTCAGATATATTGATCTATTCATGTATTTTGTATCGGTATACAATACCTCAATGAAATTACTTTACATTAGTAGCACAGTTTTCATAATATACCTAATGAAATTCAAGAAACCATATTGTCTAGTATTTCTAATAGCTAATTAATATAGTCTTATGATTCAGCAAGTGATGATTTTCCACATTATAAATTCATATACACAGGAGCAGCTGTCTTAGCTTTACTTGTCCATACTGATTTGGCACCATTTGAATTAGGATGGTCATATAGTATTTGGTTGGAAGCATTAGCAATTATACCGTAATTACATATGTTACAAAAGATTAAAGATGTTAATATCAATTATTATATTTAGGTTGAAAACATTACATCCAATTACGTAGGAGCTCTAGGAGTTTATCGTTTCTTCTACATCGTTAGTTGGATTTACAAATATTCACTCACTGGAGATGTTTGTTGGACATCACTTTTAGGAGGAATTGTTTAAACTATTTTATATGCAGATTTCCTTTACTATTATATCATTAGTCTAAAATCAGGAAAAGGTATGTCTCTAGGAGTTTGAGATTTGTGATTATTACAATATTGAAAGCAGTTTAAATTAATACCATTTAAATATACTCTATTTAGACTATGTCTCTTCTTTTATCATACAATTAATTATGCTTACGTGGCAATCTGGAATTATTATATAATTAAAATCTAGAATTCATTAAATTAATCAAATTAATCTACAAACACATTTCTTTTCAAATTCAAATACTTTACCATTCTCCAACTTAACCTACACTCTTTTCTTTTCTTTCTTTTCTATAAATTATCCTATTTCTCCTTTATATTCTCCCTTTATTATACAAACTCTTCCTCCTTTTTTTGGCAGTGTAACTTTTACATCCTTTTCTTTTAAATCCTCTATTAATTCTCCATTACTTCCCAAAGCAGTAAATGAATACTCATCTTAAACATCAGATATCGAAATATTCTTATTATAAAATTTTCCACCCATATAATGCTTATTCTTTACCTTTACCACAATCCCTGATGTTATCCATTTTAACTATTTTTCACATTTACTTTTTGATCTACTTCTACTTTTATCTTCTTTGTATTACTTTTCATCGATAAACTAATCATTTTAAATTTTTATTTTTTCTCCATTACTTTTGAGTTCAACTAAAAAACTATCACTCTATCCTTGAGTTTTTATTACTTCAAGTACAACACCTCTCATTTTTTTATATTTTCCATTTAAAATCACAATTTGTTTAAATTTTTAATTTTCCTACTTCTCCTTCTCCCCAATATATTTATATGTTTTCATTGGATTCACTCCTAGACCTTCTCTATCCCCTCTTGATTGAAACTCTATTGGCTTTAATAATGCTGTTTTTTTTTAAGGATTTTTCCCTATGGGTTACCCCTCTTAGAAACCCATCTTTTAGAGTAAATTCTAAGCAAATTAATAAACTGGAGCTTTGCTATATGTTTCTTCGGTATTATTTGGCTTGCTTGATAGTGTGAAATTTTTTCTCTCTTAAACTGGTACATCATTTATCATATTTATTAAATTATATTTATGTTTTTAAGAAAGTCTTTTTAATACTTAAGTAATTAGGTTGCTCGATCTAAATTGGGTTAACTATAATATCAAGGAATCATGATGAAAGTACCTTAAGAAATGCAAAAAGAAGAAAATTTTGAAGAAGATAGATTAGTGAAAGCATTTTTCACAAAAAATCATGATTAAATTAAAGTATATGGGCATTCTCAGAAATAATTGAATGAAAAAAGTAGTTCACCTAGAAACTCTTGGTATAAGGTGGTTTTACCATTTAAAAGTAATCCTGAACTGAGTTTTAAATTTAGAAGATTTTACACTAATCAAGTAAGAATTGGTCGTTTGTTGGAATTGATGGATTATATAGCATCTACAGTTTCCTATAATTATATTTTACCAAGTAGTGGTGCCACAATGGTAACTGCAATGGTAGATAATATAAATTTTTTTGGAAAGATATCAGCAGATTAAGATCTTGAAATTTAAGGATATGTAACTTATGTTGGTAATTCATCAATTGAAGTGTATATTGATGTAATGTAAGAGGGAGTAGTAAATGTTTCAGCAAATTTTCTAATGGTAGCAAGAGATGGCAAAGATCATTCAAAAGCCTACAAAGTTCCTACAATGGATTTGGATGGAGAAAGAGATAAGGAAACAGCAGAACTTAGAAGTTATTTAGGAAAACATAGGCAAGAAAAAAGAAAATAATAAAAAGATAGAGGTCTTGATAGAAAAGCTCCAAGTTAAGAAGAAATAAATGAGTTACATAAATTTTTTATGAATCCTCCATCTGATATTACTATAGATGAAACTCAAATTGAGAAGACACTTTTGATGCATATTTAAGACAAAAATCTTCATGGCAAAGTATTTGGAGGGTTTGTTATGAGAGAAGCCTTTGAACTTGGTTGGTTAAATGCATATCTTCATGTCAAAGGATAAGCATTCCCATAAATTATACATATTGATGACATACAATTTCTTGCCCCTGTTGATATTGGTAGTGCCTTATAAGTTTAAAGCAGAATTACAGCTGTTAAAGATACGATTATGCATATTGAGGTTAATTGTTATAAAATAAGTCCAAACTAATAAAAAATAAGATCTAATGATCTTCATTTGACTTTAAATGTTCCAGGCATCTTGATACCTTAAGTTCAACCTAAAACATACAATGAAGGTATGTAATGGCTTAATGCTTGTCGTCGTATGCATTATACTATTTGAACAGATATATTTTGCATGTTTATTCTTATATAATCATTATAATAACATATTTCTATTATCTAACAAAAAAGATTTCAAAAAAAACTAAAATAAAAAGGAACACAAATATATATTTAATTTCAATATTTTTCAACCTTCGGCTATTATTTTTTACTTGTTGGCTGTTAAACTTGCATTGCCATCATTTCTTGCATTTCTTACATTTATTATTATTATTGTTATTGCATTCTTCTCATTTCTTCTCTCATTTACATTTTAAGCATTCCTACTTCTGCTAATTATATGAAGCCTAAGATAATGCCTCCAAATATTGCATTTCTAAGTGCAATTCTAGTACCAGCTATCATTATTATTTAAGGATAATACCTCTAATTGCTAAAAATCCACCTGTAAATGCTCCAGCTATTATAGGATTAAAATAATCTTATTTGTTTCTCAGATGCATAAGAGTACAATCTGTGATACTAAATAATCCTCCCCAAAGAGCAAAAGATCCTCCCAAAATTGGAGCTCTTCTTTTTAATAATTAGATTCCTCCAAAAAATCTCTCTTTCTTCGGAGCAAATGACATGCCTTTTAAGAAATAGAATATGCATCCAGCAAAGCATCCCATCGAGAAAGCTCCTCCAAAATCATCAATGATTCTGTAAGGACACGGTTATTCACGCATAGCCATCTTAATTCTGGTTAAAATTTATTAATTAAATGATATTCATTAATTAAAATTATTAAGTAATAGTAATAATAGAAGGGGATCATCTTTTATGGGCTAAAGTTCTGATCCTACACTCAGTACGAATCCTACTGTTTGATCTCAAAACAGGATTGTTTGGTTCACTCTTTTTCTTTTGGTGGCTAATTATTTATTTATGTTTCCTATGATTGTTTCGATTTCTAAAATATTCCCAATATTTATCATAATTTTAATCTTGCCCTATATCATATTTTTAAGAAAAATCTGGCAAATTTTATAATGGTAAAATTTTTTTGAATTTATAGTAATGCAGTTTTATCTTATTTACTAACTTTTGAGTTTCAAATGCTAATTCTTCTTCAGAGATATATTCTCTTCTATTTGGATATGTCTCAAAACGTATTTTATAAAGCATTTGTAATTAATCTGTGGGAGATAATTTTTCGTAATCACCTAAATGAATTCCCTTTAACAATATCTCATCATTATCGAACACATCGTGTTCTGAGTTAGATGAATCTGAATCTGAATTTACTTCTGTTGGGAAAATCTCTTATTTCTTTGATTTTTTAAACACATTATTCATAAACTCTGTATCAATAAATTTAATAGGTTTCAATCTAATGTTCAACAACCTTGGTGAAGTTTTTTCGGAATCTAAAGTTGAGGTAGATGATTTTCTTGAATTCATAAATAAATTTTATTTCTCAAATTTTTATTATAATTATAATAATCTTATTAAATACTATTTTCTTTTTCAATAACTCACATCTTAACTTATCTATGTCTTTCCTTCAATTTTATCATAAAAACTCTAACTTTATTGAAATTAGTTTAATTTGCTTTAGAAACGAATCAATTTTAAATGTATTTATTAATTCCACTTTATTTTATATTAGGAGAAACTTTACCGACAATACTTTTTCATGGATTGGGGGATAGTTGCACCTCATCTTTGTTTAAACCTTTTTTTTCTGAAATCAATGCTGATTGTATAGAAATTGGTTCAGGACCATCATCTTCTATCTTATTGGGATTTTTAGATCAAGCTAAGGATGCTTGTAAAAAAGTTTAGGAAAAATATTCTGGTTAAACAATAAATGTTGTTGGTTTATCTCAAGGTGCATTAATTGGGAGATATATTATTACAGATTGTGATTTAAGTGGTGGAAGAGTGTCTAAGTATTTATCTATAGGTGGACCTTAAATGGGAGTTTCTGTGATTCCTCATTGTAATAGTTATTTATGCTGGCCATTAAATAAAGTTGTTGATTCATTAGTTTACACTGATTATGTTTAATAACATATAGGGCCAGCAGGATATTTTAGAAATTATGAAGACATAGAGTCTTACTTAAAATATAATCACTTTCTTCCTGATTTAAATAATGAACGAAATTCACAAAGTTTAAGAAAAAAAAAAGTAGAAAAAGTTATTTATTTTTTTAGTTTTCTTCGCTTGATCAAGTAATGCTTGTGAAGTTTTTATAAGATGAAATGGTTCTTCCTAAAGAATCTGCATTTTTTGAATCTGTAGATCCTGAAACTGGAAGAGTTATAACTCTTGTAGATTCTGAATTTTACATATAGGATCTTATTGGTGTAAAGCAACTAGATCAGTAAAGAAAAATTAAATTCATTGAAATCAATGATTCTCATTTAAGATGGACTGATGAAATAACAAAAACAGTATTTATTCCATTTATAGCTTGATTCATTATTTTTTATTTTAATATATTAAAAATTTAGATGATAGATTTATTATGTTATTTTTCAAAAATTATAAATTATAGAATATTGCATAACACATATTAATGATAAATTATTAATATTTATTATTTATTTCAATTTTACAATTTTGATGATTTACTTAGATTAATTATCAATTTATACATTTTAGAAGAAATTTCACTTTCTACCTAAAGGCCTCTGTCAATAAGATTTACAAATTTTTTATCCTCTTTGTATACAAGTAAAGATGCGGTAGTAGCTAATATGGCCAACAATAATAAAAATGTTTCTGTGACAATTTTAGAATTGGTCAATCTAATTATAGCTCTTAATACATTTCAAAGAATGTGCAAATATGAGGAGTAATAGAGATTCCAAAATTCTATAGACAAACAAAAAGAGCTAAGCTTCTACCATATTTATGTGGATGAGTTATATATAATACACTACTCCAAACAGTTGTATAGGATAATGCAAATGAGAATCCTAACAATAACAAACCTTCAAATGGAGATTAGAGTAATACTAACAAGTGAGCCCATACAGCCATCAAACCTGAGAAAATAGTCTAACTATTTAACATAATATTTTACTAATGTTGATCTTTAACCATACATATCTATTACAAATCCTAATAAAGGTGTAATACATCCTGAGAATAGCCACATTAGTGTCACCAATGTTCTAGCTAGATCTTCTCCATTCTACAGGTTGATTAACCATTTATTTAAGAGAAATTCTTAAGCGTAGCCAACCAAAACAAGAACAGATGTTGAAGCAAAAGTGTAAAAGAATAAAAGTAACCAATAAATTGCAGGAAATTCATGTTTGTTTCCATAACCACAACAATTGTCATAAATATTTTGATCAAAAACTTCTGAATTTATTTATTAGACTTCAATATAATCTTATTCAATTCTTATTTCTTCTCCATCATCTTATAACTATATTATTTCACTTGGGCCTTATTTTTAAAAAAGCTAAGATGATTTTTTAATACCTTCTTCTATCTAAAAGTAATTTGCTCCTTATTTGACAATTATTGATTGTACATTAGTATCAATATCTTTTGTTACATAAGCCATAATCAATCCCAAAATTGTAAATAATAATGCAATAACATTTGAACCATAAGCAGAATCAATATTTGGAGCAAACAAGGTACACACAACCAATCCACTCATGTAGATGAGTTAGTATATCCCTAACACAAAAGTCTAATAATTTAGTTAAGAAATACCAAATAAGTAAACTTGTAATATGAACAAATAAAAGAAGTTAAGACAATTAATAAAGACTCTATACCCCAACCTATAATAAGACGTCCTATTATGAAGGTAGTCTTGCTTCCTGAATGAGTACCTATTGTGGCTATAAATTAACCAATAACGCATAAACTATTTTGAAAAAGAATTGCAAATGAATCTCCACAAGAATCTCTTATTACTCCAGAAAAGTATGGGAGAAATGAATTTAACAAATAGTGGAAAGTTGTTAGTAGAGCTAAGAATTCTTTTTAATCATCTAAATTAAATATATCTCCTAGATTTCTCATTTATTGAGGTAATACTAAACAGTATGCTGAAGCTATTAATCCGAAGGAAGTTGTTAAAACTAAATGCCATTTCGATTTGTGATTTTATTTATCCAAATAAAATTAGTTGATGTTCTTCATAATTTTTTCAATATTTGGTTATTAAAACAATTATATTATGGCAGGTAAAGGAATAGTATTAATTAGAAAATAAAAAAAAATTGAGACTTGAACTTTAAAGAGCACCAACAATAAAAATATTAGTAAGAAAAGAATTAAAATACTATATTAAAAACTAATTAATACTGATAAAAATTTATAAAAATATTATAAATTCTCCATGATTTAAATTTCACTAACATAGAAAACAAGATTGGATTTGATAATTAATGAAGTTTTTTAAAGGTAAACATGTTGAGTATTTGATATTAATTTATATTTCAAAATTAGTTTCCTTGAATTTATTAAGCATATTTAAAGAATTCATGATTCACAAATTCAGTAGCAGTAATTCTATTGTATTCTTCTGCCAGTCCTCCTTCTATTAAATCTTTGAGATTTTCTAGTAATTGTTTTGGTGTATTTTCTCGAATTAATTACTAATCTACTTTCTGGATAAAATCTAATTGCCAAAATAGATCAGGATGATTTATCAATAGTTAATAATATTAATCATCTTTAGATGGGAACTATCCCATAATTGGGGGTCTTTTGTAAATTGCTAAAAATAAGGCTGTTGTTAAGGCATATACATCTGCACTAAATAAACAGAATTCTTGATATTCTCCATCTTCTAAATTGAGTCTAAAATTAACAATTTCAGGACTTGAATAAGGATTAAGTGTTCTAGGTAGCCATTTACTGAGAAGATCTTCAAATTAAGGTCTGTAGCTGAAGCCAAAATCTGCCAATTTAACACAATTTCTATTAACAACAAGCATATTTTCTAACTTGATATCGTTGTGTGCTATATACTACTAGTGTAAGTATTCAAGGGCAATAGAAATTTAAGTGAAATATTTGATTATAATTTTGAGTGATGTCTCATTAGTTTTACAAAGGGTATGAAGATCACAAGTAGCATTTTCAAGAAATAGGCTACAACATTATAAGTTCCCTCCTGCAGGATCTAGTTGATGATGAGGAATAAATTATTATGGTTTAATTATGTTTGGGTGGTTGAGTTGACTCAATATTTTCCATTCATTTTATAGATCCTAACACTCTCTTTAATGAACATGGTTGCAAGTACTATCATCTTCGATGAAAAGTTATCCATGAAATACTGATTTAATTACTACAGTCTAATGAAGATAAAATAAAACTTTACATCAGATGAGCCCACTCTACGATGGATGTAGGAATTGTTGCCTTGTTGTATTAAATATAGATGATCTGCTATTTAGTTTATTTGCTACATATATATTTTTATATATTATAAATGTTTATTTTCATTCTTCTTCTTTTTTCTCTTCTTTTGGTCCTTAAATGACAATCAATAGGAATTCCTTATCAGGAGCAACCATTATCTCATTATTTTTAGACTTTAAACGTAGAAACGTCAATTCATTCATAGGATCAAGATCTCTGACAGTTGATCTGAATTATTATTTAAGTAAATTACTTGGCCTTGGCTGCTAAAGTTGGAATAGTTCTTGCAATATTTTCACCTTCTTTACTCTCAGTTCCATAAGTACTACGTATTATTTAACCATCATTATTACAAATTACTATTCCTTATACTGATTTATGAGTTTTGATTCTATTTATTGTTTCTTCTATATCAGACATTATTAATTATAAAAATGAGAGCAAGTTTATTTTAGTAGTTAAGAAAAATAAGAGCAGAATCTGCTAAGGTTGGAGGAAATCGTAATAAATAAATTCTTGATACTTCTGAACTTGGAGGTAGGCAAAGCTTTTATAGAAAAAGAAGGTTTGAAGACCCTAATAATACTGTAATTGAATAAACAAGTTCATTTCGATTTCATGATAAGGAAAAATATGAATAGGAAATCAAATATCTTAAGAACAATTTGCACTCTTTAGAAAATGAGAATATTAAGCTTAAAACTAAAATTCATTAATTAGAAGGTAAGCACCTTCAACTTAATATTAGATAATTAATTAAAATAAGAAAAAATGTTACAAGAATTAGATCGTATAGGTCCTGTTAAGACTTAATTATTAAAATCTTTGAATTATGCAACTGCTTTAAATGCATTGAAAAAAGAATTAAATAATATGAAATAAGAAATCTAAAAAAAAGATTAAGAACTTGTTAATATGAAAAAAAATCAAAGATTTACTTAGATGAATGAACTATAAATTGAAAGAACTGCCTTTTAAGAAGAGACAGTTAGATTAAGATAATAAATTGAATCTTTATTTTAAGCTAGTCTATACAATTTATAATAGAATAATGTAGAATAAGTAATTCAAGAAAGATTATTTTAATTAATTTTATAAATTTAAGAATATGTTGTACAAAAGAGTGAAATGGAAAAAATAATTGAAAGACTTAAAAAAGAATGTTTGAAATATAGAGTAATAAATATTTAATATGTTTAGTCTTATTAAATAGAATAAGAATTTAGAAGCAAAAAAGAAATTAAAAAATTATTAGATCAATTAAAAGAAGAAGCCAACAATACCTAAAAAGAAAGTAGTAAAGAAACTTAATATTAAACTAAACCAGATGAATTATAATTATTAACAGACCTGATGTTTGCAAAATAAGAAATCTAAGGTAAATAAAAAGAAATAGAAAATTTAAATTAAATTATATCTGATCTCGAAATGTAAATTAAAGAATTAACTATGGTGTAGAAATCAGAAATTTAAGAAATTTAACCATAATCTCAAAGGGTTGATGTATCTACAAAATCAAAGGTAACTAAAATCTAATCTCCAGTATTTGCAACTGAAATCATGTAAGAAATAGCTTTGCCAGTAAAAAAATCAATAATGACCTAAGATTAAATGTAATAATAAGTGAAGTAACCTCAAAGAAGAAAGATAGTACCAGTGAAATTCGAAGAAATTAAAAATATTGGAGAAACATTGAAGTATCGATTAATGGCGATGGATATTAATATTTCATAATTAGATGAATATTTATTTGATGGAGACTCTATGACATTGAAAGTATTAAAAGATAAGTTAAGACTTTATCCATTTAATTTAACAAATGAAGAGTCTTTATTGGTTTCTCGTTATATTATGGAAGGCGAGAATGACATATATGAATTATAAGAGACTGCTTCAAATTATAATCCATACATTCGTTCGGTTTTAAGAAGGATATTGACAAATTATAAATTAGAAATTGTAAAAAATTAATTACTACATTCTGAAAAATTAAAAGATGTCTTAACTAGATTTAAACCATTCATTTTAAGCAATATTAAACAAATTTATGGAAAGGATTGCATAAGATTGAATAAATAATAGTTTAATGAGGCATTAATGTCATTAAATATAGAATTAAATTAGTTTGAATTAGATTATTTAATAGTTTAAGGGATTTTGGAAAGTAAAGGTGTCGAATCATTAAATTATGAGGAGATGCTAAAATATGAAATAAAGAAAGTTTAAGATTAACAACTTTCTTTTTTATTAACTGAATTAAATAATTAATAAAATTAGAAGGCTGAAATGTCTGTAATCGAAGAATGTCCAGAGAAATTTTCAGAAATAGAATAACCAGAGTAATTAGATTAAAAATAAGAGTAAATAAAAAATGATTCAGAAAAAAATGAAGATAATTAATATGTTACATTTGATAAATATGTTAGTGAATAATTTGATTCTGATAGTGAAGAATCAAAATAAGAAATAATGACATCCGCATTTAATTTGGGATAATGATGATTATTTAATTTTTGATATTTTTAAAATAAATAAAAATTATTTTAGTAATAAAATGAGTTTTAGAATTGAGGACTCTCCATAATTTAAAGGAGAAGACTTAAGTCTCTCTAAAATTTATTAATATAGAGAATCTCAATTTTCTAGATTCTCTTTTCCAAGTAGTGTAAGACATTAGAAAAAGTTTAATATTCAAGCCTCAGTAGAAACAAAGACACCTACTCCAAATTAAACTAATATAGAGAATGCACCAACTGAATTAAGTTATGAAATAGAGAGAATGGTTAAAGAAAGAGAGCATTTATTTACAGAAGTGTAATATTTTAATCCAAAAATTACTTTTAATGTTTAAGAATCACCATAAAGAATAAGAATTTCTAGAAATAGTGCTCCAATAACAAATACTAGATTATATTAATTAGATTAATAGATAATAGATGCTGAACATACATACAATTAATTCAGCTATTAATTAATTTGAATATTTATAATATATTATTATTATATTTATGGATTCAACGAACATTCCTGCTGCTGGATCACGTCCATAAAAATAAACTTTAGATTAAGCACCTTCTGTTAGATAGAAGTAGAATTTTAAAACATGAAATAGTCAATAATAACGATCAGATATTTTTGGTGTAAATTCAGGTCCTGTAGTCTAAACACCAAGCAGACAATAATAACGTGCAAAAACGGATATTTTTGGGGTTGAGTAGAATGCAACCTAATCACTAGCTTAATCCAGGGTTGAAGTAATATAATCTTCTAACTTCTAGTCTAGATAAACTAAGACTTATTAATCTAATATTTTCTAAGCGGATCCTTCTGCTAATAACACACATACTGCTCAAGAAACTATTAAAACTTAAAATAAAGGAAAAAATAATTAAGCAAGACATTAAGATCATGGAAAAGATTTTTTATTTGGAAAAAGCGGTATTTAAAATTATCAATTATTTTATTAGATTTTGATGAATATAAATCAATTAAAAGAACATCAACATTAAAAGAATTCAAACCAAAAGAAGATTATGATCCAGCTAATAGAAGAGTAAAGGAATTATATGGTAATGAAATAGCAAAAGAACACTTACCTACATAAAAAGTTTCATTAGAAGAAAAAAAAGAAACTATCAAGAAATAATAATAAAAGGATGTTGATCCATCAGAAAGAAAATAATTAGAAAACTCATCTAATGTTTTTGGACAAAATGATAAGAAAATTTATTAATAACAAGGTAAGTAAGAAAAATTAACTTCTTAAAATCAAAAATGGTCAACTACAAGTAAAGCAGTTGATAATAGTGCAAAGAATTATGATCCTGATACATTTGCTAAGAATAAAAAAGAATAAGAATTATAATCCAGTGTATTTGGTGGAGAATAAAAAGTAACACAAAGTACAGCTACTAAATAAAAATTAATTCCAACAAATTAAACATGGTAATAAACTGATACTGTTAAGAATATGAAAGATTTTGATCCATCTCAATCTTAATTAAATGAAGTTGATCCATCTTAAAAGAAGATAGATACATTAAAATCAGCATTCGATACTCATGATTATAAAGCTTAACCTATTAAACACACTGAAAAACTAAGTGTGAAATAATAGAAATATAAAAAAGATGTTTTTACAAGAGGAGGAGAAAAAGATTAAGTCCCTCCTCAATAAAAATAAAAATAGCCAGCTTCACAATAATAATAGAAAGAAGTAGTACATGAATAATCAGATATGATTTGAATTATTATATAAATTATTGTGATTATCTTCAAATTTAAATTAGATTGATCTTATCTCAATCACATATTTGATTGCATTTTCTTTTATTTAATTCTAATCTTTATTATACTCTTATACTTAGAGGTACAACTTTCAACTATTTAATTCATATGATTTAATATTTATAATGAACAGATTTAAATTATTCAAATAGTTTTGTTCAACGATAAATTAAGCTGATAGACAGAATTTCAATAAAATTTAAGATTGGTGGAGTGTAGGTGGATCAATGGCACCACTTTATTAGTATAATCATTTGAGAGTTTAATTCATACATGAAATACTCAAAAGATCTTAAAAGGGTAAATCTTTAACTGGATTCCATTCTTTGGATATAGGAGTTGGAGGTGGAATTCTTAGTGAAAGTTTAAGAAGATTAGGAAGCAAAGTTACAGGAATTGATGTTTCTGAAAACTCCATAGGAACGGCTATTAATCATAAAAATTCTGATCCAGAGTTAAGAAACGATGCAGATTTAGAGTATAAATTAATAAGCATTGAAGAATTATCAAAAAAAAATGAAATTTAATACGATATTATTACAGCGATGGAAGTAATTGAGCATGTTGATAATCTACCCCTATTTATAGAATCTATAGCAAAATTATTAAAGCCTAATGGCAAGCTATTTATTTCTTCGATAAATAAAAGCTATGAATCTTATTTTAAATTAATAATAGGAGCGGAATATATTGCGCGAGTAGTACCAATTGGGACACATGATTGGAACAACTTTAAGACCCCAGAATAAGTGTGGCTTCAATTAAATAAATAAAAAATAAATATCGATGTGGTATCAGTTATTTACTAAAATTTAAGTTGCGTGGTGTTGAATATGATTTATGGAGTGGCTAGATGAAATATAGTAATAATGAGACTCAATATATTATGGCTTGTAGCAAATAAAATAGGGAATGATAATCATTTATTTTATAATATTCCAAATGTCACTGCAATTTATTAGTCAATTTTACAAACAAAATTATAATCCTTCATTTGTCTATAAGATTAATGAATTTATTGCTTTACTTTCGAAACTCTACATTCTATAAACAATCTAATATTTTTATGCACACTGGATATTTGATGTATTTTAAATACTCAGACCCTTTAAAGTATAATAAGTATTGTAGGTAGTTGATAAATTAATCATCTTCAAAATAATCTTTAATCGCAAGTTGATGTACATAAAAAGGGCTGGCAAGCAATTAAACGAATTCAAGGTCCATTTGAAATCTCTTATAATCATCATAAATTTTTTACATTAAATTAATTTATGTTAACTTAAATTCCAATTACAAATTCAGAAGCCAAAGGAGTAATGCCAGAGTTGGAAATAATGACTTTGAAATTTAAAAATCCTTAAGGACTAATCGAAAAGATGAATGAATTGAAAATAGCCAAACATATATAGGTGTAAGTGATGAATATCAGATGTTAAAAAGACCTGTATTTGATTGATTTAGATAAAAAAATGATCGCAAGTATAATCAAATTCATTTGAGTAACAACTTTTCAATTTCCTTCTATAAGTTTCCCTTTTTTAGTTCTTAAAGTAAACTTTTAGTATCAGGGTAAACCTCCAGAATAATGGTCATGTCTTTATCATTTATTTTCAACATTTCTCGAATTTCTAAATCTAAAAAACATAATTTGTATTCATACATTATGATTGTTCACTCCTCCTTCGAGTCTACATTAAAGGGGCTTCTTATTGATCTAGAAGTCGACGTTTTCTCTTCAAATTTATATATGAGTGATCTTCACTTTACTTCCTGATTTCATCAAAATCTAGTATACTGTCTTCTTCCAAGGGTAGATTTTTTATCATTTTGAGATTTAGTTTAACCTTAGTGCCTTTTATAGACACAGGAATGTCTTGATCGATTTTTTATTAAGCTGGATTCTGTGCCTACGTTTAAAATTGAATAATCGGTTAAGGTAGAGTTTGCGGCTGGGGGGGTTAGGGTATCATAGGCATTCGCATAGGAGACATTTGAGGTATTTGTTGCATCTATTGCATTTATTACAATTGCTGCATCATCACATAATATGATTAATAGTTTATGAAGGGAGGCCTAAAATAATATAAGCATTTAGAGGAATAAGATTGTTAGGTATATAATAGAGTAAATACGAAGTTTTTACTTACATGAATTAAGAATTTGGATAGATCATTGGAGTTTATGATGTTTATTATACTGGAGCATAAAGAGGAGGTTTAGCTTTTAGCATTGCCAAATAATCCTATTGTGGAAAGTTCATTTTTGAGTTATTTAAATATATCTCTAAGAATTCATATTCAGATTTGATATTTAGATTTACAAAAGATATTGTGGACAGAAAAATCAGATGTTTTCTGAGTTATTCTATAGGTTTATGTGTTCAATTCAGATAAACTGAAATGGATCATAAGGTTATCTAGCCACAACCATTTAATATATTTGTTTATAAGTTATATTGAGAGATCTCTCTTTAATATAAAATGTAAAAATCTCATTCTCCTCAGCCTCGTCGTGCAAATAGCAAATATTCATCATTTCCCTTCAAATTACCAATGAATAACCTTGCTCTTCCTTTAACTAACAGCCATGTATAGTCTGATTAGGGTAGAAAGGTGATAATACATGTAGGATAACAATCAGGAAAAAAGATTAAATAACTCTTATAAGTTAATACAAGGCCTCTTATAAATCCATCAAAAGTTCAAATAGATATAGAAAAATTATAGATTATAATGAATGGGAAGTATGAAAAAAATATCTCAAACACTTCTTATTCAATGTAGGTTGAAAATACTATTAAAGAATTCCGAACAAAGATAGATGAGCAAGATAGCCTTATTAGATTGTAGGAATTCAAGATTAATAGATTATAATAAGAACTCTTGTTTTCAAAATAATAATATTAGCGAATGATGTCAAAATTTGCATAAGCTGATGGGAAATATAACTATTATGCGCAATCAACTAAATTAACAAAATCTTAAATTAGTATACCATAAATTGAACCTATGCCTTCAATAAATAAAATTTTGCAAGTAGATAATAAGAAGAAAAAAAACTTAATCGAAAAAATTTAAGGACTTGCCTTAGAAAATAAAAAAATTAAAGAGGAAGTTTAAAGTAAATTTAAATAAGTTTTTTAACTTGTAAATGAATTTGCAATGACAGTCATTTCTTAAGCATCTACTCTTTATATTTAATAAATAAAAGCTATTGAATAAGTTTTTGAAATACACAATAAGTAATTTGAAATAAAATAATAGTTTTAACATGAATGATTATTAAGGAATGAGAGCTCAATATGATATATTGAATAGGGAAATCTAATTACTAGAGTAGTAAAAGGAAATATTATATGATAAAGTAATTTCATTACTTTGAAAATTATTATAATTAATGAACGACATATAGCCAGCTCCTAGTCTTGTTAAATATAGTAATCCAATTCTCATTTCAAACAGTCAAAAGAAATAAATTAAATAATAGCCTCCAAGCAATACTGAAGATATTTTAAATGCTATACTACTTCCAAGAGAATTTAATCATTAGAAGAATCAATTGCAAATGTAATGTGTTTCTCCTGCACCTTCAACTAAACAAGATGTGCTTGAATTATAAGATAAATTAGATAAATGGTTATAATAAAGACAGGCAAGAGAGACTGGTCTATGTCCAATTAGAGAGGAGTTATACTCATAATGTTTTGATGAATTAATAAGACAAATTACTATTAATTGTGCAGAGAGAGGTATGCTTTTAGTAACAGTGCGAAATGAAGTTAGAATGGTCATTTAAACTTATTAAACTTTATATGCATCAAGCATAGCTTTTGGAATGAGAAAGTTTTTATCTGAAGAAGAAAAAAAAGTATTCAAAAATATTTAATTAGGCTGAATATAGATAACGTATAAAATAACTAGAATAAGAATGCTCAGATTTATAAAGACAGGTAGAATCCTTAGAATAAAAACTCTTGGATACAAAATAATAAGATGAAATTAAAAGATAATAAACTAAAGAAGCTCATGCTGAAATTGTTTCATAATTAAAGGCTGATATAAAAGCAAAAGTAAATGGTGATCTTGAAAAAATACTAACTGGATAAAAGAAATTACCTGATAAGAAATAATGATATTCAAATATTTTCATTATTTTAGATTTGATAAATGTATTTAATAAATTAGATAGCATCTTGAAATAAATATTTAAATTTTTAAATTGTGTTTTTTTATATTGTTCATAACATCATAAATCCTAATATTGCTATTAGCACTTAGAATATCAGAGCATTTGAGCTTTCATCATCACAGGATAATCCAGAACAATTTTCTGTATTGTAACTCAACACTTTTTCTTAAGTTGGACATGTGCTATCAGCAGTCTCTTTAATGCAAGAGACAGAGGTTGATCCAACAACGGAAGGATCATCTGCAGCTTCTTATAAGAGTCTAGTTGTTGTTGTTTCTACTAATGCGGCATCAGAAGCTATAGTAACTTTATTACCCAAGAAATTTAGTTTAAACTAATAAATTTATTCTCCCTTGTCTCCTTTATCTAATTTTTTAGGCTTGACTGTTTTAGCTACTCCATCGGCAGATACTGTAATTTCAGCATCTTAAGGTTTCCATTTTGAACCTTTAAATCCTTCTTAAGTGATTGTTTATTTAACATAAATGGTTTCTCCTACTACTAATTCAGTTTGATTGAGAGGTGTTGCACAAGCTTCATCAGAACATAATGTCAATGTGGATTGAGCAGTATTGACACATTATTCTCCAGTTGTATCAGCACAAACCTATTCAGCTTGTACTTTGGGCTTGATATCACTTGATTTTAGGGTTGCTAAATCTTTGCTAAAAATAGCTGAGAATTTAAAAGCAAAGAAAGCTAAGGGTTTGACTCCATTGTCATTTGGTAATTACAAGGTCACTGCTATTGCATAAAAACCAGTGTATTTGATCTCATCATTGGATTCATCTTTCAAAAATACTGTGTTAAATTGACTAAAAATAAAAAATTTAAATACTCTTTATTGACAGTAAAGCTCCATATTTTTGAGTTTTCTGATACGCTTGAGGTAATTGTTGTAGTATCTGCTTCTTCATTTGTGAATGCAGCTTTAAATTTTCTCAGTTAGACTTTAATACATGAGGTGTCTGATCCAGTTTCCACAGAAGTCTAGAGATCATTGGCATTAAGAAAAGTCAATGAGAATTTAAGATTTCCTTCAACTAACTCTACTTTAAATGTTGGTCTTTTGGCTATTTATTTTTTTCCGTTGGCTTAGGTTTATTTGAAGAATCCAATTTGAGTTTTGCAATTCTTAGCTTCCTTGCATTTTCCTTTAACAAGGACTTGGTCCTCTGTGCATGTTGTTGTTGAATCACCAGACATAGCAACATATATTAAGAAACTTAGAAGCAAAATGTGAAATATTTTCATTATAAGTATTATTAAATTACTGTCTTTTATTTATGGTGCTTATAAAGTGCAAATTTATAGAAGATATTCTATAATTTTTATGGTTTTCTAGAATGTGTTCATTTTTTTAATTATACTGCGTAATCACGATAATATTAAAATTTTTAAAATATTTTATAAATAAAATTAAGACCCCGATTAAACTAATTTTGCAAAAATAATCATCTAAAGTATCTATTCTTTATATACCATTAGATATACATAAATATGATTGTTAGTGATGATATAATTATATTAATAAATTGACAGAGTTTCAAATTTACTTTGCTTAAAATCCTGGATGTATTATTAAGAAAAACTTGAAATATTATTAGTAAACATATTATTTTTTTGTCTTGATTATATTTGATAATAAATTATCATCATTATTTTTTGTTTGCTTTTTTATGATCTTTTTCTCTTCAAAACTTGAAAATAAAAATAAGTGCAACCAAGTTTAAGATTTTGATTTAGCAAATAAAGAACATTTAATTGAGATTTAATTAGCAGACAAGATGACAATGAGGTGATCAAATATGTTTAATTTATAATTAATTTAATAAAAAAATAAGTAATTTTTGATGAGAATAATGAAATTTATATTAAACAAGATACAATCATGATTTCTTTGTTAAATAACTTATGGATTAGATAAAATAGATTTTATATTATTATTCAAGAATTAATAATATTATAAAATGGTCAAAATGATTTTGTAAATAGTAATTAGTTTAAATATATAACATAAAACATTAAAGAAAATTGTACATAATATAGAACATTTAATAATTAGAAGTATTTAAACAAAAAAATCTTATTTCCTAATTTATTAATAATTAATAGATGATGAAGAGTGCAATTCTAATAATTGCTGTGATGTCATCATTAATCTTAGCATAAAAATGCGGTATGTATGAATGATAATGATTTTAAGACACAATCAATTAACATTACAATGTTTATGCCACAGTTAATGAAACGAAAGAATGGGATATGCGAAAATTCTTCTTTACAGGAGAGAATTTGAAGTATAAGATAAATGGTGATTGTCCATACTTTGAAACTGTGGATCCTTTGTCAGAAGTAGGAGATGCAGTACCTCATGGTGATCGTATGAATATTTAATTAATGAAAGCTTCAATTGGGAATATATAAAATTTGAAGGCATATAGATCATTTGATAATGGAGCTTGGTTGAATGATTTTGTATTTTTGGAATAAAACAAAACTGACATAGATGTTTTTTATGCATTAGGGTATGTAGATTTTGTTGATAAAATAGTGATCCTCAGAAAATGGATTAAGTTCCTAGATTCCATGCATAAGTAAATGTACGAAATTCAACAGTGTCATTTATATGCCATGACTTAGACTTCTTGACAAATTATCTAATAGTGATAGATTGTTAATAACCAGATTTGGATGATCCAGTTCATTTGGGATATCATAATGGATTTATTGTCGTTGATTTACAAGATTCATAACATTA